AGTGAGCGACTACTCCAAAGAAGCCACGTTTACCACCCTTTGTTGTCCAGCCATCAAAGCTTACGTGTATTTTGCTTACTGAGCCTGACAGGGTGTCGATAACTTGCGGTCGTATAGACCGGAACAACCTCATCACAAAGGTAGAAACGCTGGTATTACTTACCCACAACGCTGCCTCTGCCTCTGGGTTGGCAAATCTCATCATCTCTCTAAAATCAGGCGTCGTAAGTTCGCTGAGCGGGTGGTTTCGGTTAACAAGCCACATGACAGTGGCTGTTCGAAAGCCCTCTACGTCGAAGTTTCCAAACGCGTTAGCAGTGTTTTGTTGTACGTCTAAACCAGCGTCAAAAGCTTGCCGCAACGACAGCTGGCCTCGAGCTCTCTGCGCTAACTTTGGGCCATCTTTCGTAAGGTTGTGGCCAGGCTTTGGTTGGCTGAGATGGGTGGCTGCTGAGGTTGTAGCCTGAGTAATGTTAAACAAACCACCACGGCCAGCGTCGATAGTTTTGTGTACATGGCAGTACTTGCACACAAACCAGATTCGAGATGTAGCATGGCGCTCAACAACGCGGTAGCCATACTGAAAGATCCAACTTTTTGGGCGCTTAGAACGCGCCAATGGCTTGATAAAATCAGGTAAACGTGCCCAGTCAATGCCGTCAAAGTTCTCAACTAGTGCGCTGTTTGTCTCATCCTGACCACCCTCTCCAGCCTCAGTTGTAGCCACCGTGCCAGCTCGGCTGCCCTCGGTGGGCGCGACAATCTCAGCCTCCGCCTGCGACTCTAAGAACTGCAACTCGAAGGTAGGTATTGGCGGCGAGGCGTTAGCCTGGCTTGCGGCAGCTAGGGTTTTGCGAGGTGATCGACGCTGAGGTCTAGGCTTAGATGCAGGCTTAGATGCAGGCTCAGGTGAAGCCTCAGGAGTTGAGGCGACGTTGTTGGTGGCAGCGGCTACTTTCGTACGTTTGCTCCGAGCAGAAGTTTGTGGTAGGCGACGTTTGGCCCATATTGGGGGTATCAGGGCAGTATAAATCACTGGAAAACGCGTTGCTATAGGGGATACTGCATTGCGATAGGCTTCTAGACAGGCGTACGTCGAGATTGGAGCAATGCGCTAGACTAAGGCTAACGTTATTTGATAGCCGCTTAGCCTGTTTGGGACTCAACCGAGGCAACTGCAACACTTCAAAACCATCGCGACATCTACCGTACAGCAGTTTTAGCACCCTCATCACAGTAACGCTAAAACAACCAAGTAAACCAAGTAAGCCAAGCAAGCAAAGTATCTTGACTTGACTTGCTTGCTTAGCTGCCCAGCTCTTACTTGACTTGCTTGCTTGGTTTAAACCAAGCAAGTCAAGCAAGTAATCCAAGTCAACTTGCTTTTTGGAAAGTCTGATTGCGTTCGGTGGCGGCAAGGTCGCGCTCAGCGGCGAGGGCTTTGAAGGCGGGGTCATCGCGAACGTTGGGGAGTTGTTCTGACGCAGCTTTGAGCTTTCCGATGTCCGAGGTGAGGCGTCGGATCTGATGAAGGTGGAGAAAACGTGCGTGAACTTGTTGTATTGGAGCTACGGGAGAAGGGAGAATATCTATGGTGCGCGCACGGAGCAGCTGACTAATCAGTGCCTGGCCAATCAGAGCACGGGAAGCCTGATTCACCGTGAATACTAGTGAAGGCTCTCACCGCGTCTCGACACACCCCCACAGGACCTGATAGTCCTGCTCTATCCACCTTTGTTGTAGTCCTTTGTTTCGATAGTTGGAGTCGTAAGGCCTAGCTGTTGTAGATACCTGCTGTGGGCTTGTCGTTCAAGAGGTTTCGTGAGGCCGTCAGCAGCCATCTCATGAGTTCGTACATGCTCTACGTAGAGGTTGCCGTCGCGGACTTGATCCTTGATGTAATGGTAGTAGATATCGACGTGCTTTGTACGCTCGTGATGACCCTCTGAGTGTAGTAGCTGTATAGATGGAGCGTTGTCTCCGTAGATAAGGATAGGATGGGTATCTGTACCGTTGTAACCGAGCTGGTGTAGCAGACGGTACAGCCAGGTAGCCTCCTTAGCGGCGTAGGTAAGAGCAACGTACTCAGCTTCAGTTGTTGAGGTTGTAACTAGCTTTTGCTTGACTGACTTGTGACAGATAGTACCTCCAGCAAGTTTGAACAAGTATCCGGAGGTTGATTTGCGGTCCTCGCCGTCAGCAAATGAGGCGTCGCTGTAGCCATGTAGGTGTAGCGTAGGATTAGTGTTGTTCTTGTTGTCATCGTATGATGTCGCATACATGGTGATAGGCATGCGTGCGTGTGGAGATGTAGCTCGATAGCTCATTACAAGAGATTTGAAGGTCTTGAGATAGTCGATGATCTGGATTGCGTACTCGTAGTGTTGTTGAGTTGGATTGCTCATAGCGCGGGCGAGATAGGCGACGTGGAAGGATATATCAGCTCGCAGTTGGGTTGCTGGATACAGCAGCTTGCCAATAACCTTTTGGTAGTTCTGAATTTGTTGTTGAGTTGCAAGATCAGTTGGAGATCGCAGCTTCAACTTGAGTACTGAGGTATCAAGCGGCGTGTAGCGAGGGAGCGCGTGTTGACGACTATACTCCTCTACAAGCTTGTCGACATATGACTCCATTGAGATCTCGATGAGTCGGGATGGTCGTGAGCGTCGAATCCGGAGACCTAGGTAGTGAGAGATTGGTCCTAGATCTCGACACTTGTACTTCTTGTATACAGCCTCTTTGATCTCCTTCATGCGTTGCTTCGTAGCTGTGATGAAGATGATATCATCAACATACGCAAGGATAAGACTGCCGTCTAGGTGTTTGAAGACACATGGATCTGACTCTAAAGGATCTAAGCCGATACCCTTGAGATAGCTCGATAGCTCATTGTACCAGAGGCGTGGTGAGCGGCGCAGGCCGTACAAAGCTTTGATAAGCTTGGCTTTGCGTCCGTCTGGCAGGCGGACATAGACTACTTCGTCTTTGTCTAGTTTACCGTTGAGAAAGGCGGTAACAACGTCTGCTTGCTCGCATTCTAAGTCTTCGGTTGCGACAAGGGCGAGAAGGACTTTTAGTGTAGTTGCGCGAGCTACTGCAGCGTAGGTTTCGCGCCAGAAGTCGGTCTCCTGCCTATTGCCACAGACAACCAGTCGAGCCTTGAAGCGCTCGAGTTGTCTATCGTCCTTGACTTTGTATTTGTATACCCACTTAGTAGGCAGGGCGTATACGCCAGGAGGGATCGTGGTTGTGGTCTCCCATGTGCCATTCTGGTCGAGTGATACGAGCTCTTCATCTTCAGCAGCGATCCATTGCTTGCTGTATGGATGAAGGCGTGCTGCCTTGCGTGTGGCAGGCTCAGGCGGTAAGTCTGTTGTTGTTGCCTCTGTAATTGCCGTAGCAAAGCAACGAGAGACTGCCGCGTATCGGTTGGGCGGTCGAGTGATGCGACGACGTCCATCGAGTATGTTACGGGCATCAAATGATGCACTGATCTCGTCGTGACGTGGAGCGTTTTGGGATGTATCCCGACGCTGAGGTGTTGCTCGAGCATTAGCAACCTCGGTAAGACTGTTATAGTTGTCAATGTCCGCGTCAAAGTCAAAGCTAGACTGCGCTTCAGCCTCTAGTCCGTCGAATACATAACCACTACCTTGCTCCGGGAGAGAGACTTCATGGTGTGGAAATGAAGAGGGATCTAGTGCTGGCGGTGGATCTTGGATATAGAAGCATTGATCCGGTTTGGTTGTAGCTGTGTCTTCTTGGACTACAGCTTTGACGTCGTGTTTAGGCCAAGCAACACTGCTCGTACGGTGTATGGACTGTGTGACTGGATCCCACATAAGGTAGATCCGTGATCCTTCTCGACCGACGAAGTACATCTTGACCGATCGTGGTTCAAACTTGGCGCTCTGAACTCGTCGCTGTACTGGTTGATGGACGTACCCAGCTTCTCCGAAGGTGCGGAAGGAGCATAGATTAGGCACAGGGTTTGCAACCTTCATGTGCTCAAATAGCAGCTGTCTTGGTGTCTTACTGTCTGGTACAGCAGAGCTGACGCTATGATTAAGGACGTCGATGGAGTACTGGGCTGCGTATGGCCAGTATGTCTTAGATATGTGAGGCGCTGCCAAAATCATTGTGCGCGCTCGGACCTCCACTACGTAGTTGCTGGCTTCAGCGACTCCATTCTGGTGGGGTGTATAGGCGGTGGAAGGCTCGGAGATGATGCCTTTGTCCTTGAAGTAACGCCCAGTCGTCTGGTTGAGGAACATGTTGTCGTTGTCCATGTGAACGATCGACACTCGAACGTGGTGTTGAGTTTCCATCTTGTCCAGGTGTTGTATAAGCTTAGATGTGATTGCTGCTTTGCAGTCTGTGAAATCAATCCAGCGGTATCGTGAGTAGTCGTCGGTGTACAGTATCCAGTAGCGCTCACCGTTGACACCTTCGGGCGTCACTGGTCCAACGATATCGATATGAATACGATGGAGGAACGTGGTTGAGCGGGCTGGAGACCGTCGTGAGATCTGTTTCTTCGATTTGGATAACATGCAGGCCTCGCATGAGAATGCCTGTGTTGTAGTGAGACGTAGGCCGGTGGTGTTGGCGACAAGAAGCTTAAGAGCTTTGGGGTCGGCATGGCCAAACAGCTCATGGAGCTCTTGGAGAGTAATCTCGCGATAGGGAGCGAGTACACCTGTTGGGTTGGTGGTTGCGGCGGTTGCAAAGGCAAACGCGCGAGCTGCCTCAAGCTCTGTGTTGGCGAGGAGGAGCGTAGGGATCTTGTCGATCTCAGGTGTGAAGGCGATCTCTTGTTGTGATGGCATGAGGTACAGCTTGCTGTCCCAGCCGTGGTAATAGAGATTTTTCGCTCGTAGTTTAGAGTGGGAGAGGACTGATACAAACATGTCCGGAGCGTATAGCACGTTAGTGAAGGAGACCTTGTTGAGTACACCTTCTGACGTGACGACAGTGATCTGAATGGTACCTACCTGCTTAGCAGTAATAGGTCCGGCTCCAGTATTAATTGTAGCAGGAGCAGTGTCGTGTAGAATTTGGAACTTGCTGCGATCATTGCAGATGTGATCGCTGCTTCCAGTATCGATAATGAATCGTTGTTTGATGTTAGAGGTCTCCTTGGTGAGACTCTGTACCTTCTCTGACAAATGAACCGTTGTAAAGGCAAAGCCTTCAGCATTAATAGCTGCGGCGTTGGTGCTAGTAGGCTGTTGTTTGCCTTGTTGTTGAGCTTGGCGCTGACGCCAGGCTTCAGTGGCGAGGTGAGGAAAGGTGTACCAGCAGTTATCACCTCCTCCAGTATGGTTGCAGTCGCAGTGCTTGCAGTATGGGGAGGTATTTGTAGGTCTCTGAGTCGCACCCTCAGAACCTCTACCTCGTCCGCGCTGGGCTCGCCCATTGCCTCGATTGCCGCGGCCACGGGTGGCGCTTCTGTTGGCGTCGTTGTTATCACTAAGAGGCTGACTGCGGTTGTTGTCACCCCCAGAAGCTCGGATAGACGTGTTAATGGTCTTGATTGGGTCGTCGCGGCGGGCCTCGTCAATAAGCTCGCTACACATGCGATCGACGTTCAGAGTAACGTTGCGGCGCAGATCAGCGCGGCGATCGCGTCCGTAGTCCGGGTAGGCGTTGTTGATAGCAAGAATGAACTGATACACTCGAGCTTTGTTAGATAGCTTACAGTCTGCGATGACGTCAAGCTTTGCAAGTCCTGCTTTGAACTTGTCGGTGAAGTTGGCTGTAGAGGGGCAGTCTTGAGCTCTCAGCTTGAAGAAATCTGCCCAGATAGTACACTCTTCAGTGACGCCTTGTTCACGATAGCGTGCGGTAATAGCTTCGTACTTCTGCCTTACAGTAGGCAGGTTCATGACGTTGTCCCATACTGATCTTGGTACTGTATTAAGTATGGCCAAGGTGAGAGACGATTCTCGGGAGTTGTAGATACGATAGAGCTCACAGTCTTTGTCGTACTGTGTAGTAACTTCTTTGTTGTGGGCTCGTACGCGTTGTTGAGCGTCAAGCAGAAGTTGTGGCGTGTTGAATGCCGATGACGTAGTTGTCGGTTCAGTTTGATAGTGAGGTGTTTCTGGGTATGGAACCACGTAGCTGCCGTCGAGTAGACCTCCGATAGAGTGAATATTTGCGTACAGCTTCAATGCTGCTTCCCAGTGGTAAGCGTTGCTACCATCTGCTTGTAGCTTTGGGATCGCGTCCATCGCTGTGGATGGCGCCATCGTGACTTTATCGTCGTCGTCGTCGCGCGAGTGACTGATGTTGTGTTCAACTGATCGGTTCTGCTGCTGCGGAAATCGCACCTCTAGAGCACTTTATCGTGATAGAGGAGGGCTCATAACCTGATGAAGGTGGAGAAACGTGCGTGAACTTGTTGTATTGGAGCTACGGGAGAAGGGAGAATATCTATGGTGCGCGCACGGAGCAGCTGACTAATCAGTGCCTGGCCAATCAGAGCACGGGAAGCCTGATTCACCGTGAATACTAGTGAAGGCTCTCACCGCGTCTCGACAGAAAGTTTGTAGTAATAGAGGAAAGAAGAAGAGACTTAGCATATCTGTAGTTTTTATATCCCTCGTCTCAGCCGCCCATACACTGCTTTGGTTCACGTTTTAGAAAGACTGTGTATCAAGTAATTTTCAAGGAAAGCAGAATCTTCTCCCTCTTATTCTGGGGCGCTATGTGTATTTCCGAGTTCTCTCGTCTTCCTCGCTCCATCGAAATCTTCCATGCCTTATTTAGAGATACTGGGGAGGAAGTTTTTGGTAGTATAAGAATAAAGGGCTGTTTCAGTATAGTCGTTGTTTTTAGAGCTCGCTCGTCTCCCACCCCATACAGCGTCTGCATAGATATTTAGAAATATCGTAAACCGACTCTGTAGTGCTGAAAGATAAGCTGGAAGTCCCTGGTACCCCTGAGGTTTTTAGATCTCTCCCCCCCACCACATGCTTGGCGATCGTGCGGCATTTTGTTTTATAAATAACGGGTAGTTATGTGGTAAGTTTTAAAGAAAGCAGGATCTCCTCATCATCCTGAGGGCTAGGAATTTTAAACTTTCCCTCTTCCACATTACTCCGTTACCATTTTGTTTTAGAAATATCGCAAAGAAAGCTTTTCAGTGTGGAAGAAAGGAAGGAAGGAGAAAGCGTGCAAGAGGGTGCCTTTTATATGTGTTCTTACACAATAGGCACGTGATAGTAGAGATTCAAAACGGTAGTGTATCATTGATATGACTTGGTGTTGTGTTTTGCCATGTATCTTCTGCACACGTGACCATTCTCATAGCTCCCGAGTTGCGCGTTTTTGATCTCGCGTCTTCCACCACGAAGATCATACATGCACCCGGGGGTCATAAAATACTAGTGTAAAAAGGCCAGTGTAGTCGCCAGATACTGCTTACCCACACCGTCAAGTACTTATGTCACCCACGTGCATGTGTGTTTTGGTGATCATATACGTAAACGTCGTAGGACGCCTCATTTCAAAAGAACCGCCGATACCACACACCCGAGCGAGACACAACAGCAGCCTCACTTATCCTTCTCCTTTTCCTTTCTAACCAGCATAACCACAACCTCCTTTCCACCACCAACACACATACACACACACACAAAAAAATTATGAAAATCGTACAAGGTCACCCCGTCCCACCCCCTACCGCGCACGTTTCAATCATGACATCATGGCATTGTTTACGTGTCATGGATCTTGGTTTTGCGACCTCCGTGCGGGGAGTCTAGATGTGGGCATGGGTAAATGCGGCACGTGTGTTTTGGTGAGCATCTGTGCGTTATTTGTGGATAGTGGGCTCCCGTTGCTGGCACGGTTGCCGGCACACACACGGTTGTTGTTGGCACGGTTGCCTGTCCGTGTCGATGCTCGTACCCGGGGGTGTGACGTACGTGTTCAATAAATTGGGGATAGTTAATAACGTTTTTCGATCGAAAAAGATACAGTACGAATCGGGTTAATGACAATAACAACCAACATCCTAAGTTCACATAAGATAACTAGTAGATATGTCGTTAATTATAGCGCCCATCAAGAGTGCACGTATACAATGTAACGTAAAATAACATGCAAGATATTTGTTTCCCAGATGAAAAAAAGATAAGATGCATAAATGGTATATGGTCGTTGCTCTCACTCCAAAGAGGACAAAAACCAAGAAAACGACGACAGCAATAACAACAGTGATAGCAACAAGAAGGGAAAATCGTCAATCAATTCATTACACCAAGAAAGGAACAAGAAAAGAAAAGAAAAAGGCTAGGATACAACGTTCATACCCAAGCCCAAGAATTCGAATAAAATTGGGTTGCCGGCAACGGCTATATATGCGATGCCTGTTTAAAGATGTTAGTGCAGAAAGGTGTCTGACGACAAGGGCAGAACGTACCAGTGTATACAATCAACTTTGTAACAACTTCAACATCGTACCGTACGCGTGGCTTCGTAAGCTTCATAAAGATCTCGCGCTTCTCGTTCTCTTCCTCCGAGGAATTCTGTTGTTCCTGTTTACGCTTCTGATTATACTCGTCGCCTGCAACGTCCGTGTCACTATCCGGCGGTGTAGTAGTGGAGTTCTTTTTGTCAAAACCCATCTTGCCCGTTCCCATCATCTGCTCATACGAGTGTACGCGCGAAGCCATTGGTGTAGGAAGTAGGCCGGCACCAAGGAGCGGGTCACCCTTTTCTATCGTGGGCGTGTTGACGACTGAAGGCGTCCAAGCCGAGTCTTCGGGAACGGCGCCGTCTAGCGAGTTTACGCTTTCGCGACGCCGGCGGTTGCGGTACGCTAGTGTCTCGTATGCGTCCGCGGCGGATTGTGGACCCACGGAGACGGAACGTTTACGCGGGTGGGCGAGGTTCTTGAGCATGTGTGGTAGCTCTGACGCAGGTGGAATTAGGTTGTCGTCGTCGGTAAAGGGTTTAATGGACTTGTATTTGGAGGCATTTAGGAAGAAGGCGCGTGGCATGTTCCAGCGAGCCTGTTCGAGGATGCGGAAAATGGGGGGCAGAATTGTGAATAGTGCGGGCTTCATGGTGGCCCTCCAGACAAAGATGACGACTACGCCCAGGAGAATACGGATGGTCGCTTTGACAAGTCCCATCTCTTGTAGATCAAAAGGCACGGAAGAGGGATACGCGTCCTTCAAGGCAAAGCCAGTCTGCGCGTAGTGCCATGCCCCAATGTTGATGCCTATGACAACGCCAGCGAACGACACACTGTCGTCGTAGCATGGACAATCGTCGGCTGGTTCGGGGTGAATGCGGACCAGGACACAGACGGCCAGAGTTACGATGAGGATATCGATATAGGAGCCGCTGAAGACGAACGAGTCCAGCCAGTCACCGTACACGAGTTGGATTGCGGTGATGAGGGCACCCATTATACTGCCTACAATTACATCTAAGAAACCGTGCATGCCGCAATATAGGCGACCGGCGATGATGGAAAGGGCGTAAAAGTAGAAGAGGGCCTGTAAACCCATGTTCCAGTTTGAATTGTCCTGCTCGGCCGACTGGCGCAAGGTGTAGATGGCATAGAATGCGACTGATACTGCGTTGGCGGAGTGAGACGAGGGGAAGCCGTATTCAAGGGCGGCGGAGCCCGACATTGAGATGCGGGCCAGAGGCGGCGATAGTGGCCTGGGTAAGCAGAGCATGTCTTTGAGGAAACCGGTCACGTAGACGCCTGCAGCGAGCATGAAGACAGTCCTATGCACGTCAGACGTCGCACCATGATAATGACAGCAGGCGACCTACGCTCGGCCAATGCTAGTGTAGCCACACCAGAACTGGATGGGCAAGAAGACCATGAAGAAGGTGTGGGTGCCTAGGTTCGCCGTATAGGCAAAGTACGAGTCGAGTGCGGGCGAGCGCAGGGTGTCTTGTAGTAAGGCAAGCCATGGCGTCTCCCAGCGCACAATGGGGATGAGGCGATTGCGCAGGGCATTCCGCCATTTGGGCAGGTTGCTGGCGTAGTGGTCAAAGTCCCTATTCCCCGCGTCCAATTTGGGGTCCTTTGAGGTGGGATTCACAGAAGTGGCAAGAGCATGGTGATGGTGGTGGTGGGTAGTGTCGGAATGGGTAAGCGGAACGGCTTTGGGCGCATCATGTTGCGGACACATGGCTATCGAGCCTATACAAGTCGCAGTCGCAGTCGCGGGCTCGTCGAGGCAATCGCTCGTGCATATCCAGGCGGGTGTTGTTGGGCAGGTCGGAAGGCGTTAGGCGTCTTCGTATGAGGGTGAGGCTGTGCGCGGGCGTGTAATCTGCAATCTGCATGCAATCGCTCGATAGAATTGGACAGGGACAGGCCGCCTTTCTAAGCAGCCGTGGCAGCAGCAGTGGCACTTTGGCAGCTGAAACTTGGTTCGGCCGCGCTAGTTTTGGCGAACGGCTGATGGTCGCCCATGGGTAGCCAGGGTAGCGTCGTTGCCATATGCGACCAGAGCACTGCCAACAATCAACACCCCACACTCTTAAGCCCCGACCACTCGCTCCCCACAACCACACCAGCGACAAACTCCATCTTCGCCCATCTTATTGATACCCAATACCCGTCGCCTGAAACAACCAAGCAAACACCGAGTCCACGACTGAACACCAAACATGGCCACCACTCCCTCGCAAAACTACGACTATCTCAGACGCAAGCAGAGCACAAAGGCCACCGTTCCTAGCATCACACCTGTCCGCGGCCACGCCCGGACGCCGAGTGAGCGCAATAGCAACGGCACAGTCAGCTCGTATGGAACTACCAACACGCGCGACACTGCCATCACGGAGCCCCCGGCCTACTCTAAGAAGCTCGTCGTCGTCGGCGATGGCGGTTGCGGCAAGACATGTCTGCTGATCAGCTACAGCTCCGGCAACTTCCCAGAGGTAAGGCACTCACCGCCCAACACTGACATGTCATATGATGCTAATTGCGACCAGAAATATGTACCAACAGTCTTCGAGAACTACATCACCCATACGCCCCATCCGCCCACGGGCAAGATGGTTGAGCTGGCCCTGTGGGATACCGCCGGCCAAGAAGAGTACGACCGCCTGCGACCCCTCTCCTACCCAGAGACAGACGTCATCTTTGTTTGCTTCGCCATTGACTGCCCCAACTCACTAGAAAACGTCATGGACAAGGTAAGCCTGACCACCCACACCATCTCCCCCCTGCTTCCTCACTAACACCCTCCAGTGGTACCCAGAAGTGCTGCATTTCTGCCCAACAACACCGCTCATGCTCTTGGGTCTCAAGTCCGACCTGCGCAACAAGAAGAACTGCATCGAGCTACTCAAGACACAGGGTCTAACGCCCGTCACCACCGAGCAGGGTCGTGCCGTCGCAAAGAAAATGGGCGCTGCCTACATGGAGTGCAGTAGTAAAGAGCAGGATGGTGTAGAAGAGATCTTCGACATGGCCGTCATAATGGCCGTCGGCGAGGAGCAAAGGGAGGAAGAAGAGCGCCGCGTGGGCACCGCAAACTCGTCATCGAGAGGGAACACATCGAATTATCCCGCGGGAGTCGTCAAGAAGAAGAAGCGCAGCGGCTGCAAGGTCTTGTAATACAAGCCTTACCATCCGTGTGTTTATCGAGAGGAGCGCAATTCGAGATTCACGACGCTGGACGACACGATCAAGATGTTTAATGACCGCTTACGGCTCACCTCCATCACGGTCCTGACATGTTCTGCTTCCTTCTCCACTTTTTATAGGGAAGCCTTCTCATGTATATGGGCGGCGGCGTTTTTCTTCTTTCCTTTTCCTCTTTCTGGTTTTTCCTTTGGCACGACAACGGACATAGCGAGTCCAAAAGCCCCATAGCAGCATTTCCTTCGTGTATCTGTATCCGGTATTTAGTTGAGCGCATAGCAGGAGCGGGGCTTCACTTTGCTCACCCAAGAAGTAAATGAAGCAATTTTTTGGATAGTCAGTTTTCGATGTAGTAATGTCTTGTAGTGTAGTGAAGTATGTAGTAATGCCCTGACTCGAGTTTTCTCCTGTGCTTTGGGTACCTGCATCTTCCTTGCTTTTTCATAGGGCCCCCGCATATGATGAAACGATCCCTTGGAGTCTTTCTGTTGCAAACGCAGACTTGATCATCGTAAAGTATGTCCGTTCTTTCTCTTGCAATCGCATGGTCTTGGATATTGCATGACATGTAGTCTATTTATGTCTTCCTTCATTCCTGTTAGTAGCACCTTCCCAGATACATGCGCATGTTCTGAAGCCTCTCTTTTCCATTCGCATTTGGGTATCGTAAAGTATAGAATAACGCCGTGTTCTGCATTCACTACTTCCGTTCCTCCGGCACTTCCGTCTCTCCTTCGGCCTCGGTCGCACCTTCCTGAGCACCCTCTGGCTGTTCGTTTGGATCCTTGGCCATGACGTTTTCGAAGTGACTCCAGAGTGATTCCACGGGCGCAAACTCGTTTCCCACCGACGTGACCTCTTCGAGCGAGCGGTTTAGCTTGTTGATGTTTTGTAGCACGACTTCTAGACTCTGTTGCGGTTAGTGTCTTGATGCGGTGTAGGATGATTTTCTAGTCAATTAACATACTTGGGCAATCTCCGTGACGAGCATCTCGCGTTGTTGCTCGTAATATGACTTTGGGGCCGGCATGTCCTCTTTTGGAACGGGGAAGTAAGGTGGTGGCATCTTGACTGTGTTTATTCGCGTTGTTGCACTCCCATCTCATCATGTCGATGTTGCGGGAATCTCGGGGGTGCCTTGCCAACCCCGGTCACGCTAGCTAAGCGACGCTGCAGAAAAGTCGAGCTCGACCTCATCTCTTTCTTTTCCTCAAGCTTTCACGATGAAACCACACTGAAAGGTAAGCTTCCACACCGCCTCTTTCCCGCGCATTATATGATGAATACCCAATAATCTGTCAATCCCCTGACCCACCAAAAGGTGGCCGTGGAGAACTAATATTGTATTCACACTCTGACCTCTTCTCACCTCCACACCTTCACCGCATCTTGTCTTCGAGGCATAAAGCTAACCCGCTTTCCGCTTCAGATCATATCATGGCGTCAGCGCCAGTACCAAAACCCGTCAAGGAACCTTTTCCCATCTCCCTCGTCGCAGGACATTACCTCCTCTTCGATGTGGACGTCATTGCGCACTGCCGTCGCACGCACAACATCTGCGGGCTTCTGGTCGGCACGATCCCGAACCTCAGTCAACAGAACGTTTTTCTGGGCGTACCGCTTGAACTTATGCCGGAAGAAGCTAGGGTTCTCGTCGATAAGGGCGCTGCGTATATCGTGGATGATGCGCAGGTTCATCAGAAGAGCTTTGCGGAGATGAGCAGAGAGGAGAGGCTGCAGTACATGCAGGAGATGGACAGGAGAGGAGAGGAGGTGACGGAGGAGCAAATCAAGTTGGCGGAGATGAGGAAGGAGAGAGCGTTGAGGGAGAAGGGGCTGAAGACAGAAAGTAGCATTGCTGCGAGCACAACTTCAGAAGAGACATTGCACATGCATGACTCTAGTCTCGCAAGTTCCGGTCTTGGATTCATCATGAAGGGTTCGAGCTTCTCAGACTGGGCGCCGGTACAGACAGCCACTGTCGATGCCAGCCCAGTGCGCTCTGAGAGTACGGGCTTCGACCTGGGATCCATCATGAAGGGTTCGAGCTTTTCAGAACCTTGGGTGCAGATCAAGCCACCGAAGATTGACTCCTCTGCTGATGAGGTTTCACTCTTCGAGTCGGCACCAGCATCGTCTCCTCCCGAACCCTCTACCAAACAGTCCGCCAAGGACGCGCCGAAAGGCGTCGCTGCACAAAAGCACTTTGTCACTCCTACAACCTCATACCCACCGCTGCCCACACCTGCCAAGGACCCAGCCGTTCCACCTCCAGCTGTACCGGACAGCTACCCTCTGTTCCGCTACTTGCACTCCAAGGGCTACTATCACATGCCGGGCCTTCGCTTCGGCTGCCACTACAATGTCTACCCTGGCGACCCCCTTCGGTATCACAGTCACTTTGCTGCGACAGGTTTGGGCTGGGACCAAAAATTCGACTTGCTCGATGTCGTGGGTGGGGGCCGTCTGGGTACAGGAACCAAGAAGGCATACATGATCGGTGGTGAAGACCCCGAGATTGTTGATGACGAGCAGGAGTCTCTGAGGGCGTTTTCCATTGAGTGGGCGGCCATTTGAGTACTGCGAGTATATACTATGAATTTACGATACAATGCCAAATAGAAAAAATAACATTTCATGCAAAGTACCTGCTCGTGTGTCGATAGTTGTGACCACACATTTGTTAGCTGGATTTAATCATGTCTTATCCAGCAGTTTGGTTTGTGTTCCTGCAGCAATGGTGTGCCAATAGGACGGGCCTTGATTAACCCCGCTACTCGACCCCACGCAAGCTGCCAAAAGTTCGTGTCCAGACACGACGGCCTTGCGCAACGTCGACAACAACATTATGGTGTTCTTACAATATGCGGAGCAGCTGCCGGGTGGTGCGTAATCTCGCTGTCTCGTCAAGATTGCATTGCTGATGTTTGCGCAGAGTTGCTTCTCATATGGCGCGAGCACCGACTCGAAATACTGCTCTCCGCCCTAATAGTGGCGACAATCGCGCGCCTTGTAATATATTCGCGCGACCGGAGAAGGGAGAAGTTATCGCAATCACCCGTTCCCTTGTCGCCTGTTGAGAAACAGACTGTGGAACTCAAGCCCGAATGGCTTCCCGAATACACTACGACGCTGAGCCCGCCACTTCCCAATGTCGACAACCACGCGGAAGACGACACGGCCGCGGTGCGTGTAGTTTCCAAAGCAAAGAAGGGTCCCAAGACAGTCAAGGGTAGGAAGACACAGAAGAAGAACACAGCGCCAATTTCGACATTCGACCACAAAGTACATAAGATTCAGCCTTTGGTCTTCTTCCAGTCACTTTCGGGCACTACCGAGCGCTATGCTGCGCAGTTCGCCAAAACTCTCACAGAATGGACCGCCGGTTGCGACCAGTCAGCTTCATTTCTAGAACCGCAAATCCACGATATCTCGTACATTGAACACGACGACTTCTTCATTAGCCCACCGAAAGCCGACGCAAACGTCAAATACTTCTACATCATCCTCGTACCGACGTACAACATCGATACTGTTTTGGACATCTTCATTGAAGGTCTGCAAGAAACACACAATGATTTTCGCATTGACACGGCGCCGTTAAGTGGATTGCTTGGGTACTCTGTGTTTGGCTTTGGAGACAAGGAAGGATGGCCGACAGAAGAAGAGGGTTTTTGCAGTCAAGCGAGGGAAGTGGACAAGTGGATGGCAAGACTGACAGGTAGAAAGAGAGCGTACCCACTGGGAATGGCTGATGTTAAGACTGAGGCCGAAGAACGGTTACAAGAATGGAGGATAGGCGTTCAGGAAGCGCTTGTTGAGATTGCTGAAGGACGCGGTCTAGGTGAAGGAGTTCCGGGTAGTGGCGATCCAGCTGAGAGCGACGAAGAAGACGTGGAAGATCTGGACGATGGAACTGGGCAAAGCACAAGAGTTGATGATGTCGAGGACTTGGGTTCCGTGGTAAACTCATCATCAGCGCCAATCCCCGTCGACTTTACAACGTACAAGAAGTCAGCACCCAAGTCCAAACAAGTCCAGGCTCCAAAGGAAATGGTCCCGACTACTTCTCCTACTCACGCTGCTCTGACAAAGCAAGGCTACAGTATCATCGGTTCTCACTCTGGTGTCAAGATTTGCCGATGGACCAAATCCGCCCTCCGAGGCCGAGGTTCTTGCTACAAATACTCTTTCTACGGCATCGCCTCACATCTATGCATGGAAGCCACCCCATCCCTTTCATGCTCCAACAAATGCGTATTCTGCTGGCGTCACGGCACAAATCCAGTCGGCACAACATGGCGGTGGGTAACAGACGCGCCCGACCTAATCTTCGACGGCATAACAGCCGCACACTACAAGAAGATCAAAATGATGAAAGGCGTCCCCGGCGTACGAGCCGAACGCTTCAGCGAAGCAATGCGCATCCGGCACTGCGCCTTGAGTCTAGTGGGCGAACCAATATTCTACCCTCACATCAACGACCTCCTCTCCATCATGCACAGTCACCGCATCTCCACCTTCCTCGTCTGCAACGCCCAACACCCCGCTCAACTCGCCTCGCTCGTTCCTGTAACACAACTCTACGTCTCCATCGACGCCTCCAACAAAGATAGTCTCCGCAAGATTGATCGACCCCTTCATCGAGATTTCTGGGAGCGCTTCTGTGCCTGCCTTGATATCTTGAGAAACCGCCGCTTTGAACAACGCACCGTGTTTCGCCTTACGCTTGTAAAGGGGTTTAACATGGCAGAGGAGGTACGTGGCTACGCAGACCTCGTCGAGCGCGCCCTCCCAGGCTTCGTAGAAGTAAAAGGCGTAACGTACTGCGGCACATCCGCCGCCGGCTCCGCAGGCCTAACAATGCAAAACGTGCCCTTCTACGAAGAAGTCGCCGCCTTTGTCACCGAATTAGAAAAGGAATTAAACGCCCGTGGTCTACAATACGGTATTGGGGCTGAACACGCACATTCTTGCTGCGTGTTGCTGGCGGATAAGACGAGGTTCCAGAAAAATGGCAAGTGGGCGACGCGTATTGACTTCGAAAGGTTCTTTGATTTGTGGGAGGGGAAAATGGAGGGGACGAGGGTGGAGGGGGGCAAAGTGGTAGGGTGGAGGCCGGAGGATTATGTGGGGGATGAGACGCCTGAGTGGGCGCTTTGGGGGAATGGCGGATTTGATCCTAGGGATGCGAGGGTTTATAGGAAGGGGAAGGGTCCGAAGACTGAGGAGGGGAAGATTGAGAGGGAGCTAGAGGGGGAGAGCAAGGTTCAGAAAGCGAAGGCTTTGGAGTTTTGATAGGGTGCGTGGATATAAAATGATTGAAAAAAAAAGAAAAACATTTTCATGTGCAAATAGTTCTGATCTTCATTGTTCCATGTAAGCACTCACTACGTGTAAGATTTTGTATACGGCACTCGTCGCCTCTTCAGCGGCCTGGCTGCTAGCTGTTATGTGCTTCCTTCTCACAGATGCCTCTTCCTATCCCGAGAGGTACAATCAAAGCCGGAAATCCAGACGTCCAGTATAGATCCCTGGCATCTTCAGATAAACCCCAATAGCCTCCAAGTCTTCATGCTTCATGTAGTCTGTCTGGCCTCCTCCTCAAGCCCCTACTTCTTCTTGCCTGCCGCCTCCGTAGCAGTCAACTCCCGTATAAACACCTTGGTAACACCATCCGGCACATCATCCACGCCATCCTCAAAGCCAGGACTAACACCCACAGCGACGTATTTGCCATCACTCGAAAAGTCAATCGTCTGCACGCTCGCGGGAAACTTCTGATACTGCCGTATCCTCCTCTTGGCAACCGCGTCCCAAAGCGCCACGATACCGTCGCCACCGCCCGTAGCAAAGGTGCCGTGGACGGGGTGGTAGGCGAGTGCGTGAACGGGGTATACGATGTCCTGGCCATCGATTGTCTGTCTGTGGCATTTGAAAGCGTATTTGCGGGACTGCGACTCGTCGGATGGATCGAACCATTCTACAGCTACGCGGCCTTCAATGCTGGAGCTGGAGTAGCCGGCGTCGTTGGGCATGCAGGAGACGGCGCGCGTCATGTATTTCATTGAGCTTTCGCGCTGTTGCCAGGGCTCCACTGCAACTTCCTCGCCACCACCGGTCTTTGCAGCTGCAGCTAGCTTCTCCAGCTCGTAGATGTTGACGGCTCTGCTGGCCATGGCTACGACGAGTTTGGTGGCCGAGGCCGACAGCGAAAACGGTTTCGAGGGCAGACGCACAGCGGAGAAGTCACCCGGTTGCGAGAGGTCGTGCAGGTGTAGTGTAGAGTCCCAGGACGACGAGATGAGTAGGTTGTGTGGCGCGGAGTAGAGTATGTTGCGTACGCCTTGTTCGTGCGTCGACATGATGGTTTGAGCGCCTGTCTCGAGATCGATTCGGCGGACTTCCCAGTCTAGACCACAGGAGAAGGCTTCGTTGTCTTCGCGGCCGAAACAGACGTCTAGGACCGGGGCGCGGTGCTCGAACTTTTGGAGCAGCTTGCCGCCTGGTTCGGCGTGCGTGTCGTAGAGGTATACATGGCGGTCCCAGGATGACACGAGTAATCTTGTGGGGTTGGTAGCGGAGTATTTGACGGCGGATATAGGCTCGGTCGGGTTTTGCGCAAGCTCAAATTGGCCTGCGTTGTTAACCTTCTGTTTGGGTGTAGATTGAAGGCATGTGAGAGTAGCTCTACTGCTGCGCGCGCATACCAGCGCAATCGCTATCCTCGAAAAGAAAGACAGAGAAGCATAACAGAAGGAGATTACGAGCTAAGACATGAGTAACTTACTAGACATGCTGGCGATATAGATCCGTACTTCGAACCTGTCGGAAGCTGAAAGTAACGAGGTGAAGCTCCGCAAGATCGGGGGTCCGCAACTAAACAAATAAGATGATGCACGCTAAGACCCCTCGAAAAGTTCCCCAGGAACCACACCACCACTAAACTCCCTTGCTCCAACTTTGCGCCTTTGAACTTCATTTCACAACCACAACACAAAGATGCCGTTCGCGCAGTTGGTTATAGGCCCGCCGGGCTCGGGAAAGTCGACGTACTGCGATGGCATGCAGCAATTCATGACTGCTATTGAGCGCAAATGCTCCGTTGTTAACCTCGACCCCGCGAACGATCATACGTCGTATCAGCCAGCCGTGGATGTGCGCGACTTGGTTACTATTGATGAGATTATGGAACAAGAGAGTTTAGGACCGAATGGCGGAGTGTTGTTTGCGCTCGAAGAACTGGAGCATAACTTTGAGTGGCTGGAAGAAGGCTTGAAAGAACTTGGAGGTTAGTATAAGTTGTTGTAGTGAAACCACTGAGAAGATATGTCTAACATATTATTGCAGATGATTATATACTCTTTGACTGTCCTGGCCAAGTCGAACTCTTCACACATCATGGGTCGTTGCGGAACATCTTCTTCCGCCTTCATAAACTGGGGTATCGAGTATTCGGACACCACCCAGGGCTTGCAACTTGACGCTAACATTCTCGCAGCTCGTCGTCGTACACTTGACTGACTCTATGATACTATCTCGACCGTCGCTATACGTCTCATCGCTACTACTCGCCCTACGCAGCATGCTACAAATGGACCTCCCTCACCTCAACGTCCTCACCAAGATCGATAACCTGCGCAACTACCCCGACCTACCTTTCAACCTCGACTTCTACACCGAAGTCCAAGACCTACACTACCTCCTACCACACTTGAATCGCGAACAAGCATCCGGCATCCCAGGCCCCACAACAGCTCGCACAAACGAAACAGCAGACGAAGATGACGACGAAGAACCAACTTCAAAATTCTCAGCGCTAAACAAAGCAATCGTCGAACTCGTCGAGGACTTTGCACTCGTAGGCTTTGAGACCCTAGCAGTCGAGGACAAGAAAAGCATGATGACACTCCTCCGAGCCGTAGATCGCGCCGGCGGCTTTGCAGTAGGCGGCATAGAAGGCGCAAACGACACTGTCTGGCAGATGGCCATGCGCGAAAATGCGGCCACCATGGATGCGCGCGACGTGCAAGAGCGGTGGCTGGACCGGCGGGACGAGCTGGATGAGGAGGAGAGGAAGGCGTGGGAAGAAGAGACAAAGGATATGCGTGATCCTCCTGCTCAGAAAACTGTGAGAGTGCCACCACCGGCTGCTTCTGGAGAAAAGGCTGCGTCGAAACAACAGCATCCGGCAGAGAGCAACCCGAAAGAAGATAGCGATGATGATATGGGGGATTTGGAGGAGATGAGGAGGTTTATGGAAGAGAAGAAGGATTTGGGGATTAATATTGTTAGGAAGAAAGAATAGGGGTAGCCTGGGTTTCTGGAAGAGAGCGCTTAGCTTATGATGAAGGCGCAGGTATAGATTAAGTGAATAGCCAGTGGATACCTGGGGAAGGGGACTCTATCGCGCAGTGGAAGAAGCTGAATCTAGGACCAAATTACGACGATTTCTTTAATTCTTAATCGTAGCTATCTCATACTCCGGGGACGAGTGGATGAAATTGGAGTCTTTTTTACTGCATCAAGTGTATTAGTATTCTTCAAAGTAGGGCAAATGAACCTAACGCTATATACGTGCCCAAGGCGAATGATATATCTCATGCGTAAACCGGGACACGCTCCTCTTCCGCGTCTTCAGTCTCTTCATCAAGCGGCTGTTGGAAAGACATCCTCGCCATACGCTGCGATGCCTCCTCCACTTGCTCCTCAGCCCCATCCTCCCTCGCTGCAGCCTCAGCTTCCTTCTTTCTCGCCTCCTCAGCCTCCTTCTCGTTCTTTCTCGCCTGCTCAGCATCCCTCTGCCTGCGTTTCTTCTCTGCAGCCTCTAGCTCCGCCAGTCTCTTCCTCGTCCTCTCTGCTTCCTCCTTCTCTCTCGCCTCGCGATCTGCCCTCTCCAACGCCTCAAACTCATCGTCAATCTCCTCCTCATCCAGCACCTGACCACCGCTCTCATTAATAATATTGCTTATCTCCTCCGTCGTAGCCATCTGCTCGTTGACCGCATCAACAACACCCTGGACGCCCTCCGCGCCCCCAACTTTCTCGTTCAAGCCTTTGAGTGCCGCAGCGCCCGCGCGCATCGCTTCTACGATCTCCACCTGGTCTGCTGCATGTTGGAGATCGTTGTAGACTTGCTCGAGCTGCAGGGCGACATCTGAGCGCTGTGCGAGGGCTTGCTCGGCGAGTTTCTTGGAGCGGAGGGCGGCTTTTGCGCGGACTATTTGTTTAGCAGCGACGGCTTCGCGGGCGGCGGCTGAGGCTTCTGAGATCTTTTTCATCAGCGGAGGGAGCTGCGCGTGGATGTTTGCGACGGTATCGCGGAGGTTTGCGATAGCGGCGTCTTCTTGTGTAACGGGGAGAGGTTCGGCTTCATGTTCTGGTTTGAACTTTATGGTTTGCGCGGTATACGATATAGCGTGTTTATCTCGAGCGAGGAAGACGAGGAGGACGTCTAGGTCGTCTGTTGTGAGGGGTGCGGACGGGTTGAGCGTGGTGGCGAAGCGGTTTAGGAAGTCGGTTCGGGAGAGGACTCGGTCGGCGGTGGAGGTATGGTCTTTCATCTTTTTGAGGATTTCATCGGCGGCTACCTCGACGTTTTTTACTATTACAAAGTTTCCGGCTTCTAGTTTACGCGGGGATTGCGGTTGCCCTATGACGCCGACTTGTCGTAGGCTCCATTGGAGTACCTGCCATGGCGAGGGTATCCAAGATGACTTATATATGCTCTCTTTTGACGTGAGAAAGTCTTTCATGGGTAGCATTTCCTTCTTCTTCACTGCTTCGTGGAATACGGCAGGAAGACATACTGGTTGCCCGTATTGCGGATGTTGGAGTGCTTGCGCAAGCTCGTTGGCGGCTCGGATGTTCAGTAGATCGTGTGTGGTGCCCTTCTTAGGGACGACACCTGCTCGTGCAGCATCACTGAGTGCTTTTGTCCACGCGGCGATGTTGGCATGGTAACCCTCTGGGTTTATATCGAGTTGTTGTCTAAAGTCAGCATAGAGAGATGCAAGGCGCTGTTGACTACAACAGTTAGTCAAGACTGGGGAAGGGGTGAAGTTGCACGGGGGCAAGGGCTAGACCAACTTCCTAAAGGCGTCTTCATGTTGTAATACAAATTCCAGCAGCTCGCTCATGCTGCGCTCGGGAGCAGGTCTCCACTGCTGCGGCGTCTGCTTGTTTGATTTGGGTCGGAAGAGCGCACGCTTCCGCTTATGACGCCCGAGCGTGGGGTCGTCGCTAAAGATGGAGACGTGGGGGCCGCGGCTGCTGCTGTGGTCGAAAGACGACTTGCGTTTGAGCATGTGCGCGGTTGAGCGGTATTCAAACGGGGAATCGATAAGGGTCTAGTGCAGCCTGGGTCCGCTAAGTATGTTTACTACTTGATTGCTGTAGTCTAGACTAGACTATCGACTACCATCCTGTGCGCGTGCGCATGCAGGCTGAGCCTATTCACTGTGACGCGACGCGATGTTTCAGATGGGAGACCCCGCGGAAACCCCTGTACTTGACCTGATTGACTGCTTTCTTACATCCCTGGTATAGTGATATTGGTTTGTGATCTTGCTACCAATCATTCATTTCACTTACATCTACTCATAAGAGAGTCCAATTGTTATGTGAATGACGTATAAGCCATGTGTCCAGATGATGTACCAGTTGCAATTGTGATAACGATACAGCTCAGAAGGCGCACTCCAATCCAAAACATACAGTCTTGTAATTTCTCTCACTTGCGAATAGAGTTTAGCCCTGCGTGGACCCCGAAAACAGCGCGCAGGCGACCATATACACCGGTGTCTGACTCCCAAGTTGCGCTCGAGCGGTCGGGCGGACATGAACGCTAGCTTCCCGCCGCCCGCCACGTGCCAAGAAACCACCGCAACAAACGCCGACCTCAAACCGTCGTCGACGCCATCGTCACAATCCACCCTCCACCCACCTCCGTCCCCGCCCTCTTGCCGGGAAAACAACAACAAACCCCTCAAAACCATCGTCCCGTGAAAATCTCGGGAGTCCGAATATCCCGATCCAATGCAGTCTCTCCGCGCCGCCGCCGGCAGCGCCTCGCGCACCGTCACCCGCACAGCAGCTCCTCAGCAATCGACGGCTGTCGCTGCTCGCCGCACCTTTTCAAGCTCACAAGTAAAGCGCGTGCAGTACGACCCACCCACCGGCTGGCTGTTTGGCGTCAAGCCCGGCGAGCAGTATGAGAAGGAGGGGTGGGAAGGAGCTATGTTCTGGGGATTCGGAGGTGCATGTGCATTTGGCGTTATAGCGTATGCTTTCAAGCCTGATACTAGGTATGTGAAATGAATTGGGGATAGAGGGGTGATGACGAGTGATGGATGGGGTATGAGTGAGATGATAAGAAACCATGACTAACGAGATGAATAGCATCCAGACCTGGGCTCTAGAAGAGGCAAGGCGAAGACTCGAAGCCGAGGGTATCCTGCAGGACCCGGATACCGTTAAGAAGGAGTAAAACCGATGGTTACCGACATGGGAAAGAAAGACGCCAGACAACAGGAAGATGGATGCGAAACAAGACCGGCCATAGACGAGTGCTGGTAGAAATTCATCGTGGAAAGTGTACATATGCTAGCAGGGTCGAAGATTTGGTGGGGGTTCCTTCATTATGTTTTGTGTGCCGCATGGGATCTGCGGAGACTACTACGGGCTCTATAGACTTTTGCGAGGTGACTGATGGGTTGATTTTATTGTGTTTTATTTGTGTTGTTGTGAATGAGCGAGTGAGCCTGTGCAAGTGATGTGTCACGTCATGTAGTGTAAACTGGAGTAAAAAACGGAGTTAATGAGGCATGCTGGAAGAAAGATGGGATCACTCCCAGTCTCTGTGGACCGTGCGCTGAGAGCTCTGTGTATAAAGTCTCGCCTTTGACAGCTTCCTTTCTTTCCTCCTTATCCCACTTTTCCTTCTTCTTTATATCAAAATCCGAAAAATGCACAAAGTTGAAAGCTGGAGACCGGCACTTTCAAAATGCTATGACTCCCCGCCATGTCTGGGGAGTTTGGCCGGGTTACAAAACTACTGCTTTGCTGTCGAATGTCTGGGCATTCCTGGTTCTTTCCTTTCCTCCTTATTTTACTTTCTCCCCATCTTGCATATCTAAAATAAAAATATCAGCACATAGTCCGCATGCCCAGCTGGTGGACACGGCTCCAAAAATGCATAAATTGTACATGGATGTGGGGAGAAGTTGGGACTTTTGAAACTACAGTCCACCTATTGAATGTCTGGGGTTTTAATGCCTGCTGGAGGAGGGACTAAACTTGAAAATTTCCGAATGTGTATGCTCTTTAGAAATTGGGCAACCGAAAGCATTATGTCTCTTGGGCGGAATAAAAAAGCTTGACTACTCGTCATATGTGGCTTTCCGGGGTATAAAATACCATCCCGAGTTCGCATGGCGTCGCTGCGTGGAGTTCAGAATCTCAATGCATAATAACATGTTATCTTTGCCATACCAAAATAAACATCATAGGCGCTCATGGAGCCGTCCTGTGGGTTACAAAAGAAACTTACTTCCCAGATCTTCTCTTTCTCGTAAAGGGTACCAGAGATGATGATGTGAAGTTTTCCCAAAGTCTAACAAAGACTCCAGAGAAAATCCTGAATTTTCGTTGCTGAAAAGCAGGTAGATATGCCGAAAATGCCGAAAATACTTCTTGCTCACTCATGGGTGGTGCCGGTGGTCCGAGCGGGGCGTCAGGAGGGGTATAAATTTGGTTCTTGGGGTGTACGACACCTTCCTATCACTACACTTTTTTCTTCTTGAAACTAAAAGCCACTGCAAGAGGCGCACTGTGTGTGCAGAGAGAAGATCTTTCCAAAAAGAAGACTGCAAGGGCAGATGTGTGGGAAGAGAAGTGGTCTAAAACTAGAGAGCTTTGAGGCTATGTTTGAGGGACTTGACAGTCTTGCAAAAATCAGCTCTGGAATGGTGCCATGAGAGAGGTCTTGTTGAAGTCAGTACTTAAATTCTGGGGTTTAAAATAAATTAAAATAGCCCTTATGGGGAGGGCTTGGGTTCCGGATTCAAAAACTACGATTGAAAAAAACAAATTCCAAAGTCGTTATGTCTAGGAGAAGAAGTTTTTGAAAAGCGAAGATGCATAGTGTCGGATCACAGATATCAACGACATCTCAGCCACGCGATCGGCCGCACTAATCTCGGCCACGCGAGCAGGCGCACTGATACCAGTCACGCGGACAGGCGCACTGATCGCGGCGTCCGAGCAGCGCTCAGACCAGACCTCCTATATCTAGCTCTTCCATAGTTCCCCTTCACAAGAGAATGAATTAGAACCACCGAACAGAATGCATTCCTAGTTATCGTTATTTCCTTTCAGCACTAGTGCTACAGCCCTACCAACACATAGCTTCGTATTCGTTGAAACTGGTGAGTTTCTACATTTTTCAAAGGTTTCCAAAAACATACCTACACATCACACATGTGTGATTCCGAAAATTCTCCTGCAGTTTCCAAAAATAATAAGCGCAAGCGTGGATGTAAGGTGCATACCATTTTTTTCTTATATCAAAAAAAGGCAGACAGCCGTTGCATGTGTGCGAGAACGTTCCTGAGACGACAATCTAGAGAAACATTCTATGTGGCTCTGTGGTCTGAGCGCTACTGTAGAGGCTTGGGCCTTGGGTTATACAAAGCCACAGTCTTGCACTTGAACTCTTTACTTCACTACTGTTCCAAGGGTTGTTTTAAAATTTTAAAACGATGTACCACTATACCCATGAGCGGGGAAGAAATTGGGGGATTAAAATACTGTTTTGATGTGGAAAAAAATCAAGAAAGACATCGGCGATGCTGGAAGTTCACGGCATATGGGCGGAAGCTCCATGTGATTGTGGAATAAATCATAGAAAAACTCGATACATGGAGCATGTGTGGGGAAAATTCTTAAAAACAAAAACTCTTCGTTTGATGTTCCGGGTATCAGGGTCGGAAGTATAAGAAATATTGGTTTTGTGGGCTTGTACCAAAATCTTACTAGACGATATTTATATGTGATCGTGTTGGAAGGTCTATAGCACTAGTGCTGAAAGGAAATAACGATAACTAGGAATGCATTCTGTTCGGTGATGGTGATTTATTTATTACGAACACAGCTGCTACGAAGGTATACCTAAGCTCTGCGCAAGGTGGGCCGAAGTCGGGCCGAAGTGTCCAGCAGCCGACGTCTCTACCGATACTCACGATCCGACAGATCGAATCTTAAACTTACGCTAAGCCGATCCACCAAAAGCTCCCGCCGTCCGATGTGCATAGGCCCTACTGTGGGCATATAAAATATGGGAGTGTACCCTCCTCTTCTTCATTACATCTGTATTTCAAGGTTGTGTGAATCAAACCAGGTTTCGCAAAATATGCATGTGTGGGAATTGGGTGGATCGGGCGTGTACTTCAGCCTCTCGCCAACCCTTCTTATGGATCGTGATATCATGTATACGTCTGATCAGTCATTTCTGTGAGAATACGTATTTTGAATGGATATGAATGTGGACTCTCATTACGGAAAAAGCCGTGTGAGGTGGTTTGGGGCTGAGGAATGAGGCTTTTTGAGTAGGAAGCGGAGCCAACAGCAGTTTTGGAATTATGTATCCTTGACATTTTGTTTTCTTGACCTAGCTGAGATGTACAGCCTTAGATGAGATTTACCCATTCTTCATAGGAGTGCACCGGTGCGGACCCGCTAATTAAAATTAAGATGTTTAAGCCCAGCAGCTGTACCATGATTTTGGTGGTTGAGGAAAGATGCCTGCGAACATGAATAAGATCCACACAGATTTCTCCATTCCCGCATACTAGCTTGGCTGAGGAAGCATATGCTATTAATTATAAGAACTGTTACTATTTACCACTCAGGGCACTCAACGAAAATACCAAGTTCGCCGACCGGACCTATTTCCACGACTTCCCTTAAGATGTGCTGGCCTATTCTCTTCTATTTCACCTATTGCGGCTGCGAAGATGGATACGTGGCATTCGACTCCGGATATCCTACGCATGAAATCTGGCAGAAAATCTTTCAAAACAACAATGATACGTATGTCCCACATCACTGTGTCGATGGGAAGAGCTATCCGCTTCATACAATGGCCTATACGCAAAATTATTGTCTACGCCACGAGCATGTCTACCCCGCAGAGCGGCCATGCTTTCGAGATTTTCGGGGTACGATGAAGTATCATGTTAAATTCATGAGAGGGGAATATCCTGATAAGCCATCTTCGAAATTTTGGTACAAAGATAGGGGAAATAACGGGGGAAGCGAAAGCCAAAAGAGTGCGGGAAAAGATTTTCAGCGCATGAAAGAGCTAGAACGATCGGCTGATGAGAGGAAAGAGGAATCGGAAAATGTACGAAATCAACACGAGTTGAGGGTTCCTCACAGCAATGCTCGAGGAAGGAGTCAATCAGCGCCTGGATCGATTAGATTTCAGTCTGTCGCACTTCAAGTAACGATCAAATCACCGACCTCCGAGCCAGATTTGGCCGTACAACCGTTTGTAAAGCCGCCAAGCATGGCAGCACGTACTGTCCCACAAGATCCTGGATCTGCTCCTCCGAATTTATCTACAGCCCTGAGTTATTCACCAGTCCAAATAGAACATCCCACTGGCAACGGTCAAGGCATGCCGAATATCGTATCTGGAGCTACTCCAACAGATCAGCCGGGCAATACGTTCGCTACTTCACCGTACCAGCAAACCCAGGCTGTGAGTAACCTAAGACCAAACACGACCTTCTTTATACCACAGCAGCAATATATGACTATGCCTGTAAGTTTTGTAATGTTATTACATCAGCCTTGACCATCGGGGCCTGTAAAAGATGGCATCTAATCTGTCCGCATTAGCATTCTTATTATATGTACCCTTCAGATCCATACACAACAGCACCAGCTTCGTATTTGATGGCACCAGCTCCGTACGCAACAGCACCAGCTCCGTACGCAACAGCGCCAGCTCCGTACGCAACGGCACCAGCTCTGTATACAATGTCATCAGCTATGCATGCAACAGTATCAGCTCCGCATATAACGGCACCGGACCCAAACACAGGCTTCTCTCCTACACCGAAGCGACGACGAAGAAGAAGGCGGAGGAGAGCACCCAAAGCTCAAGAAGCGGTTGAGGCCGAGGGGCAGGACGGTGAAGAGCTACGGGAGGACACGCCAGTGCAGCAGAGCCAAGACATCGAGTATATCTCCCAGCTGGATGGATTGTCCAGCCAAATACATGACGCTCAGCTGCCAAGTGCATGACTGCAGGATTATCTACAGTGATAGTTCGATATTCCTTGGCCGGGCTGTGTGTGTCGAAGGACATTGCAGTGCATGGTAGTAGATAGAAAGTAAAGATCTTGCACATCTTACTGGAGTCTCATAGATATGAAAATTCGAGATGCAATCACAGTGTGGGGGTTACACACTTGCGTAGAAGCGTTGTTCCAAATGAAAGTCTTGATTAGTTCAGTTTCTCCATTATGTTGAGCGTATCGGTAGGGTGAAGTCAGATAGGGACAAAGTGAGCCTGCGCCAAGTCATGCCTTCAATTATGCAGTTTCAACAGGTATTGGAAAGATAAGTGGAACTTGTAGCCGGGACAAGACGTGCGAAGGCTGGGAAAGTTGAGCCAAGGACAGAAGTTATGCCATTCCTATTATAGTCTAGCGCATGGCCCCTCCCTGTCTCGCACCTGCTCAGACAGCAACACGTCGCGACATTCATCTCCAACTGATTCTTTTCGCATACTCTTGTCACTGTACACAGTATAACTCGCTGGACGCATGGAGTCCTTCTAGGTGCTCTTTTCCCGGTTCTGCCCGGCAGTAATTGCTGAGAAGTACCTGGCCGACAAGATGCCGGCTGCTGGCTGTCTCGCATGTGGATTCTCGCACTTCTCGCACTCTGACATCGTAATCGGTGTGAGCATGGGAGCCACTGATAGCAGGATGCAAGGCGACACCCACCTACCAGACTAATCTTGCGGACGGTCACGCTGGTATTGCGGCTCAATGCTATGCTGAATACCCGGTAGCAGTATATTAATGGCCATCTGATTCGTCCGTTCCTGAGCAATTACCGCCCACCTGAGCGTGTATTGCAGTAGCTTCTTGATCGTCAGCGTACGGTGTGGATTTCACATTTAGTGCCCGGAAAACTATATTGCCCCTATATGGCCGATTAGGCTGAACTGGCTGCTGGGTGCGCAACGAACAACCTCAACGTTCAGCAATTCCATTCATTATCCCATATCTCGGGAAGCCTAAAAGGGCAAACCTCACAGTATGTTCCCTGCAAATAATTCCGTTTGTTAAGAACGAATTTATCTTGTTCGAGGGCGACATCACACGAACCCGATCAACAGTCAAGTTGGTCTTGGCGAACCTTCAATCTATTTGTTACGGAAGCCCAACCGAGGATTCGGGTCGATGCTACCTTGGAAGACTTATGTTATGGCAATTAAGCTTCAAGGATCGCATGACTACAATCCAAGGAGTCTCGTCCCGTTTGTCCCGGAAGCTTCATCTTGCCTGCTAGGTCTCACATTTCTGCGGGGACTTGTACCTGAACTGTATTGTCGGAGATCACTTGACGTAAATCTCTCAATACCTCTCATCTACTTGGCACCATACGATGAGATTCAGACGGTGTGAAACCAGACTGCTCTTTCATGTACGTATACACCTTCTTTGGGAATATCACTGGCCATTTTAAGGTCCAGGCCACTCGAATAAGCATGCTACCAAGTGCCGGATCCACTGTTCAAGCAATGCTTCGTTGTACCGCTCGAAGCGCCGCAAGCTAATCAGGGATCTTAGTTCTCGGCGGAACATTTTTCCCAGAAAGAGATCGTGAGCCTCATGACCTCTACTATTGCTTCATTCGGACCGGAGGATCCTTCTAGAAAATTATCTCGTGTTCTTCCTGGAACTTGACAGGACCAATATATCACTACCAGGTTTTGAAACCACCGGGGCCTGTGGAGCTGCAGCGGAAGATCTCGCATAGTAGTCAAGGGCGATCTTACCAGATCTTTGCTCTATATGTCAACCGTAACAGAGAAGGCAATATACAATGATATGTATATGGCCCTGTGAAAGGACGCATGATACAACAACGAAGCTTCACGCCAAGATAAGAGTTGGAACAACGAATGCTGATCCACAACTTTGCCTTATTGGATATGAAATTCCCCAGTCGTGACCGGATACAACAGGAAGCTAAGAGCTTGCTGCCAATCACGTTGAACTATCATAGTACATGGTATTGAAGGGCTCCACATATCCACATATTGTCCGTCCATCGCCTCGTACACTACCTCGTTGAGGCAAAGATCCCAGACGCTGTGGCGCACAGATCTACGTTAACCCCAGACTACCCCACGAAAGAGGTACGACAGGGTGTACTTCATCTATTATTCATTACTCTGGTACTTCTAGCTGCCTTCTATGCTCCCGATGTTCCGAGTCTCAGATCACATTGGTGACAACAGCCGTTAGAGAAAACTAGCCTGCAGACGTGGTGCACCTTGCAATTAACAGCGGCCATATGGGTACGTCCGTGATGTACTGTGGAGAACGCCTGACGGAGGTAAGAATTGTGTATAAGAAGGGACTCCTCGAGCCAGTATGTTCAACATCTCACAGCACACTCTCACTCAACAGCCACCATGTACAGGACACTCGCCCTCACTTCACTCTCGCTCTTCGGAGCCGTTCGCGCTCAGCAGGTTGGCACGGGGACGACGGAGGTCCACCCAAAGATGAACTGGCAGACTTGCACTGGTAAAGGTGGCAACAGCTGCACAACCAAGGCCGGTTCTATCGTGCTCGATTCCAACTGGCGATGGGCCCACAACGTTGGCGGATACACCAACTGCTACGATGGCAACAAGTGGAACGACAGCTACTGCCCAGACGGCGACACCTGTACCAAGAACTGTGCTATCGATGGTGCTGACTACACTGGTACGTTCCAAAGCCTTATCACGACGACATACAATTTTCTAACATGATTAGGTACCTACGGTATCAACGCCGGCGGCAACTCGCTGAGCTTGAGGTTGGTCACCAAGGGACAGTACTCTAGCAGCATTGGCTCGCGTACCTACCTTATGGAGAGCGACACCAAGTACCAGATGTTCAACCTCATCGGCAACGAATTCACCTTTGACGTCGACGTCTCCAAGCTGCCTTGCGGTCTCAACGGTGCTCTCTACTTCGTCGAGATGGCCGCTGACGGTGGTCTCGGCAAGGGCAACAACAAGGCTGGTGCCAAGTACGGAACCGGATACTGCGACTCCCAGTGCCCACACGACATCAAGTTCGTCAACGGCAAGGCCAACGTCGAGGGCTGGGTCTCCAACCCCGAGGACCCCAACGCTGGCTCAGGTACCATGGGTGCTTGCTGCCCTGAGATGGATATCTGGGAGGCCAACTCCATCTCCACCGCATACACCCCCCACCCCTGCAAGGGCACGGGTATCCAGGTGTGCACTGACTCCACCACTTGCGGAGATGGCGACAACCGCTACAAAGGTATCTGCGACAAGGACGGTTGCGATTTCAACAGCTACCGCATGGGCGTCAAGGACTTCTACGGTCCTGGAAAGACTCTCGACACCAACAAGAAGATGACCGTCGTCACCCAATTCGTTGGCTCCGGCTCCAGCCTCTCAGAGATCAAGCGTTTCTACGTCCAGAACGGCAAGGTCTTTGCCAACAGCCAGTCCAAGGTCTCTGGCGTCAGCGGCAACTCCATCACCGAGGCCTTCTGCACTGCCCAAAAGAAGACGTTTGGCGACACAAACTCTTTCGCCACTCTTGGCGGCCTCAACGGCATGGGCGCCTCGCTTGCTCGCGGCCATGTCCTCGTCATGTCCCTCTGGGATGACCATGCGGTCAACATGCTCTGGCTCGACTCTGTCGCCTACCCCGCCGATGCCGACCCATCCAAGCCCGGTGTTGCCCGTGGTACCTGCGCCACCACCTCTGGCAAGCCCGAGGAAGTCGAGGCCAACCACCCCGATGCCACTGTTGTCTTCTCCAACATCAAGTTCGGACCTATTGGCTCCACGTTCGCTCAGCCCTCATCTTAAGCGTGTCGCTGACTCGTCTGGGGCGTTTCCAAACAAAGCTTGGCTGGTAACTAAAAACTTTGTCAGATTGTTGGATCTAGAATCGCGGTCTGTCGCTGGTCCTATCCTTTCGCTTTGATTCGTTACTGTATATACTTGGTGGTGGAATAGAAGATGGATGTGTGCATATAGAAAATGAAGATCTTTATTCATTCACATGGGAGTTTCCAAACTCAGTGAAGTGATAATGTACATGGTGATCTGTGGTATGATCAAGACTCGTCTGCTAGAGCTTTGACTCGCTTCTTGTACTCCTCCAAGCTTTCCTCGCTGGCCTTGGCATCATTCTCCAGCTCGTTGACTTGCTTCGTCAGTACTGGGTTCTCATTTGCGAGCAAACTGGCACGTGCAGTCAATTCCTCGTTGTACTCTTTTAGGTCAGACTTCTCTTTGCGCAGCAGTTCGATTTCCTCATCCATCGCCTTTTGATCCTGAAGAGCTTATTTTCCTTGTTCAATCTGGGCTGTTTGTTCAGTGATATGTGCTTTGAAGTCGGCAACATCTGTTTGTAACTTCTTGTACGTGTCGATGAAGACGGCCAAGTCGTCGATGTTCTGTGAAGTGATTGGTTATGAGTATGGGACATAGCATATATAGTATTGGGGGCTGTAATTACCGGGATGAGGCTGTCTTGGCTTATGGGATCTTGCTGTGGACTGTCTTCCCGTTTTACTCCCCTCTTGCGAGGCATCTTCTTGTCTGGTTGTCGCTTGTTGGCTGCCCTTGTCCTCATGGGTGACATCTTGAGACACTGATCACTTGTTATGTCCTACAGACAGATGTAGGTAGTCTAAGCAACGGGTTAAGTTAGAAAACGAGGTGAGTCAGACGACGAGGTAGGCCCGACAATGAGGCAGTTCAGATGATGAGCAGGTCGGACAATGATGCAGGCCTGACGATGAGGTAGCTCGGAAAACAAGGTAGGTCAGGCTACGACGTAGGTTAGGCAACAAGGTAGGCTATGCAAACAAATTGGCCGGGGGCTAGTAAACCGCCAAGACCAAGCGAATGGCGAGCACTGAGAATTTCACGGTGACTCCGGCAATAGAGGAAGAAAAGAGAATCATTTTTAATTAGATTCCAAGGTTCCCGTGTACATAGTGCCATTGAGCCATGACTGGCGTTCTTCGCCTAGAGCCTTGACACGATTTTTGTAGTTCTCGAAACGCTGTGCTACCATCTTGGCCTCTCCCTCCCAAAAATGAGCAAAATGAGAGACTCTTTTGCATTCATTGGACCAAGCAAGATCTCGTTGTACCAACTTCTTGTTGCAATCTATCACATCCTCCAGTTTCTTCTTCAACTCGTCGTGCTCCTTCTGTTTACTCCTAGCGAGCTCAGTAGCAGCTTGTGATTCCACCTCTGTATCTGCAATCTGAGCTTCTAGGTAGGTGCAGTGACGCTGTAGCTCGTCGTAGTCGGAATCGTTGGTCTGTTGAATGGGGTTACCACCGGCCTTTATCTGCGCAATTTGGGACTGTAGTTCCGCATTGTCGTAATGTAGCTTTGCAGTCTTGGCCACTTCCAGCTCGTAGTCGGATTTGACCTTTTTGTAGTTTTGGACAAAGGCAGGGAAGTCGTAGATGTCCTACATAGAATCTGTCAGTAGATGCATGATGAATTGAATACTCAGTTTCGAAGAAATCTACTTACCGGAATGTCGTCATCCTCGCTTACAATAAGTGATAGCTCACTAGAATCTCGCTCGACTTTGATCTTCTTCGCCGTCACTGAGCTCTCACTGGGCTCTTACTCGGCAACCCTTTTCTTGGTCGTCTCGCGCTTGCTTGGTGGATCGGGTGAAATATCAATGGGAGAGCTTCCTGGGCGTACTGATCGCCTGCGCGGCACTGCCTCTTTTGATGGCATCTTGGAGGTGGGCGTGAGCGAGAGATCTGAATGTCGCGGAAGATGGTCTGTTCGGGAGACTGACGAGAAAGTAGAAGTGTTTATCAGTGAAGAGACTTAAACACGCGCTAGCAAATAGGCAAACGCCCAGCTTGGCGGTGATGTTTGGATAAGTGAAGGTGAGTGACACCACAACCGTATCGATACCGCACTGCGCACTATCCGCTACCCCACCTTTACCTACCAGGATGTGCAACAAACTTGAAACTATGGGGTCTCCCGAGTGTAGTCGAAAGGCCTGGCGAAATTGGAATGAGCACTTACCAAGACGACCTTGGGAGCCATTGGCTTACCTACATCTTCACACATCCTACCCACCCACGATCCCAGACCTCCCACCCCCATTCCCACTAACACATCCCCCTCACCCCAACTATCTTACCTAACGAAATAACCCACTCACCCCATAACTCCTTCATCTCCTTCTCTTGTTTCTCCCATTTCTCCCAACTCTCCCGTTATTCATGTCGCTTTGTGAGTTGTAGTCGGATTCGTAATCGCCATCATCGTAAATGTCGTTTCTTTTGCGTTTTTGTAGCATCTTGCGAGCACAGTGAGAGATATGTAAGAAAAGAAGAGAGATGGTGGGATAGTAAGAACAGTTTTTGAACCTAAGGTATGTATATGTCTTACTATGGGAGACTGGGAAGCTCGCCTGTTAAGAGAAAGAAAGGGAACACACAATCAAGTGAACCACATAAACGAAGAGAAATATAAACTTACAACTCCCCGCCCATCAACCACATCACCTAGACTCCATTCCCAATGACAATAACGAAAAAAAATGTGATCTATCTGGTATCAACTCGCAACACTTTCCCATACACTTAAACTCCCAAAATCCAACTAATAGACCATACTCCTTCCCCTTATGACATCCAACCGTGCTAACTGCTCCGCCAAGTTCCTCTGCGCATCTAGTCTTTCCTCCTCTCTTTTCCTAAATACCTCTTCATTCTCCTCCCGCGTCCGCCAATACCGCGGTCTAGCACTCGATCTTCTAACTTCGATATCGCTATCATCCGCACGTTGACTCCGACTAAAGGTGCGATGCAATCTCGACGGTCTAGCATCAACCTTCTTCTCACTCCCATTCGCAACACCCTCTTCTCCAGCTTGCTCAAACATCTCCCTCACAGCACCCGCCCTCCCCCCAGCGACCCCCAGCCCCAAAAACGCCACTTGTACCTCTCCCCCACCCATTCCCTCAGCAGCAACCCCATGACCCCTCCACGCCCTCTCAAACGGACTCCTCCCCTTCCCTAAATCGCGCCAACTCTGCACCACAAGCCTAACCTGGCCACCCGTCTGATGCACAAAATCTTGTCTGCTGACCGCCCAATCAGCCCCACAAACCTCACAACTCTGTGTGAAGGCGTATTTCCAACCTCGTCGCACCACATTATCAACGGCGGCCATGAGACCGGCGTGGCCGCAGTCTGTGTCGCGGTGACCGGTGAGGGCGTGTGGGAAGAGTGGCCAGAGGTGCTTGAGCAGGTGCTTGCTGTGGGTTGTGAAGGAGGGGAGAATGATGGCGAAGGAGGTATGGAGGAGGAAGTTGTTGGTTTGTGAGATACGGGCGCGTATGCGCAGGGTAGTTGGAACAGGTGTTTTTGAGATGCGTGCCATGGTTTTGTGGTCGTGGGAGAAGGTGGAGAGGGGGATGCCGTGGCTGGGGCCATGCAGGTGGGCGTTTAGTGCTAGGCGGATGTGGTGGTAGCGGAGGGTGTATGTGGGGGAGCCGGTGAGGTAGCTGTTGTAGTCTAAGCATTCTCGCTGCTTTGGCGGCGATGGTGTTGTTGTTGTGGTTTTCGTCCATCTGGGGGATTGCGGTGGGCTGGGCTCAGCGTGGTTGGGACTCTCGGATGCGTCCCAGGCGTGGAATTTGTCGCACCAGGCGCAGAACCAGTGGCCGGGGAATGCGCGTTCTACGACTTCTTCGATTACTCGTCGCTTTTCGAAACGGTTCTTGCTGCCATCGATGTGTCTAGTGAGTACGTTGGTGCCAAGGGCGTAGTAGATGTAGCGGCTTGATAGGCAGAATGAAGCTGCGGTTGCAGTGTCTAGGTATGTGTTGACATGTCGTATCAGCTCAATGGGAAGACTGAGTATAGGCGCCGCGGGCGCTGGTATAGGTTGTAGTTTTGTGATTGTTGCTAGTGAGTCTGAGACTTCTCGTTCGTAGGTAGAATCCATGCTCGTTCTTGAGCTGGTTGGTTCCGAAGCAGAGTCGATAGTCGAGGAGTGTGATGATGCCGAGGAGTAGGCGCTCACTGAGCGACGGAAGAGACCCATCTTGATATCCAACTCTTTTCCCTTCTCTTTTTATGATAAGATACTACTCTTTCAAGTCCAACAGTAGTCCAGTGGCAGATAGGATCAGATATAAGGCACCCGCACACACAACAGAGCGAGTCCCCAAGATATATGACAAACGCGTCGAATTTCCAAATTGATAATAATAATAAACGCTGACTCGAGACTCTTCACACGTACCAAAAAGCCAATTTCAATCCAAGCCTAAACACGCCGGCCGTCCATCCCCTTATCAGTGCGCACACCACACACCACACACCTCTGCCCAGGCCGACCTACGGGGTAAAGGGACAACAAAGTAACAGCATGACCTGTCATCCAGACCCGCAACCCTGGCGTCTCCAACGGGCTGTGTGACAGTGGCACACGCGTGCGCCGCATCATCCAGACCCGGCATGTGCCTGGCCTAAATGCCAGGGTCCCACCGGGCTCGCGCTGGCGGTGAAGGTGAGACAAGAACCTTCACCTGATGAGTGGTCCTTTCTCAATCAGGCCTACTAGCGTAGTGGGGGCAGCTGGGCAGCTTACAAGTCCCTAGTTGCAACGTCAACAACGCGGCCGGTGGTGCAGGGCGCGAACGTCGGCAAGGAAAACGTGTTGCGGCGTTTGGTGGGGGTATGCCTGTCTGCTGCCATGACCAACACGCCACTTTTAGCCGTACACACACACACACACACTAAGGGTTGACTCGGAGCCCTCCCCTCCCAGCGACGAGTTGGAAAGATTTAGAGTTAAAGGGGCGGCGGCAACTGCCAAACTGCACATGCAAGAGAAGCGGTTTCTGAGCGAAAAGAAGGTTCTAGTTCATTAATAGACGGATGTGGTGCCGTCGGTGTATGGCGCTATGCTGCGTGCAGAAAAGGAGGAAACTTGACATGTCGCCGGTGTGTGCGAACTAGCCATGTCGCGGATGAAAAAATGGCGTCCAAACATTCAATAGAGCGGATATAGTACAAATGCGCCTTCTTATCCCCTCGAAGGACGCAGCCCTAGGGTCATATCGTTACAACTTCTGCTCTCCGTCGTTCAATCATCTTGCGCTGCCCCTAACGAGGAGACCATCATCTCCCCTGGAAAGCGAAAAAGCCGGTTTACCGCGGTAGCTCGGGGTTCAGCTTGAGCTGAGGTACTGGTGGGCCGGTTCCTGCTCTCCGCCTTCTTTCGCGCTCGTTGAAGCCCACGGGCTGGTCTAGCTGCGTGGCCTTCCTGAAGCGGCCGCCAACGTTGTGTATCCAGTTCTCGCCCTCGTCAGCACCAAGCCAGTACCTGGGCGCGCCGCTAAGCATGACGCGACCGAGCTGACCCTTCCAGCCGCTACCTTCCTCCTTGCCTTCGGCGAAAGGGTTCTCGGCGAGGTCGGTTGCGGACGTTTGCATATCATTCGAGTTATACCACGCAGCCGAGGAAGCGTTGGCAGCAATGTGCTGACGGAGACACTGGCGCGCGAAAGCCAGCATGATGAAAACAAAGTAGACGCGCAGGGCCCAGAAGCCCGAAATCAGCGAGATACTCATGATGCTGCCGCTCTGGAAGACGGCATTGCCAAGTCCTGCGCCGTTGCTTGCACCTTGGCCTACGGCGACGGCGTTCTGACCAGCCTGTATGCCCTTGGTGGGCTCGGCGATGATTTCAACCTGCGTGACATTGTGCTTGGGGCTGGTGAACCCCGCGTTGTCCTTCATGCCAGGCGACAGTCCTGCATTCTCATCTGGGTGGCCGGCGAGCGTGTAGAACCATGCGATGCCGAAGAAGGCTGTGTAGAGCGCGTTGATGACCGAGTCGAGGGCATACAAATGCGCCAGCAGGACAGTTTCAAAGGGACTCTGTAACCGGATGTGCTTGTACAGGTGTGTGGTGGCGAGGAGGGCAAAGGTAGAGTAGAGGTACATGGACAGTTGCCATCCATCGATTTTGGCGCCTGTCAGCAGGGCGAGGAGGCCGTAGACGCCAGAAGCCTTGTTGATGACTTGGAGAAAGGTGATGACTTCAGCGCCAGTGCGGAGCGACATTTTCTGGAGGAATGTCTGCGGTTCCAAGTCAGCACTCGACATGTCGTATTGCGCGGTGCGGCCTCATTAGGTGCATGGTGTTTGTTGACGTACCTTGGGCCGCGGGATCTCCAGAATGTGAGAAGGCGCCATCATAGTGGCGGTTGGTCGCAGACGAAATGTCCACGTGTGCGTGAATGCGATTAAAATACCGCTATGATCTGATATAAGACTGCAACTTTGTGTGTATGTTTACGAAGTTGACAATGGGAAAGGTGAAAGAGCTTGATTGCGGAAGCGTCCGGCTGGAGATTTGCTCATCTTCTTGCAGGGCTGAGCTAGGCCCCTTTCAATGACAACGACTCGTGCGCCTATTTACATATGAATCGCTATCCCCAAGTCTTGGTGGATATTCCCAGCATATTTAGACCAAGACTGGTTTTTAATTCTACTCTCGTCGTGTTGTTGTCCGTCTCTGGATCGAAGGTAAGGGGTACATCAATGACGTAGCTATGGCCTCAACCGCGGCCAAAGTCAAGGCAGCCTTCAACTGCCTATGTGACACTATCGTACATGTAGGAAGAATTCGAACTGCAACATATCGTATACTCTACATTTCTCTTTTTAAAACTATCCCAAGTACACCATGGCAGACTACCACCCTCCAGCACCCAAACTTCAGGAGCAAGACCTCAAGGGCAAGGACAAGGTCGCGATAGTAACGTATGACTCTCATCGTTTGTAGAAGCACGATGCAGTCTTTCCGTAGTCTGTCTTATTCAATCATACTATTTTGACTTCTCATATTTTCATCACGAACCTGATCCCACTCAGCGGCGCAACCAAAGGCATCGGCCGCTCCATTGCCCTCTCCCTCGCAACCCGCGGCTGCTCCATCCTAGGCACCTACTCCTCCCCAGAGTCAGCCCATCTCTTCGACACCCTCACCCACACAGTCCAAGGCCTCCACTCCACCCCTTTAGATGCCCCCAAAATGCGTGGTGTAGTCGCCGACATCACAACCCTACCCTCCATCAGCGCCATCCTCACTTCTCTAACTGACCACTTTCACAGCCAAAAGCTCAGTATCGTCGTCTTCAATGCGTCTTTTAATACAAGACCGCGTGTGGGGGCAGCTTCTGAACACGACATTTCGAGTTCGTTGACGGGAAACTTGCATTGGCCGATTGTTGTCATGGAGAACTTGGTGAGGCAGAACATGTTTACGGAGAATAGTCGCGTTGTGGTTATTTCCTCGGATCGCGTTCGTGATCCGTCACCGGGCTCGGGCTTGTTCAATGCGACGCGTGCTGCCATGGAATCCCTTGTGAGGTCTTGGGCTACTGAGCTCCCATACGACTTCCCTGGGACCACTGTGAACGCTGTGTCTGTTGGTTTGACGGATACACCCGGGCTGCGGTCCTTTCCTCCTGCTGCGGTTGAAGCGTTGAAGGAGCAAAGATTGAAGAAGGTCAAGGTAGTGGAGGGAGGGAGAATGGGGTACGCCGAAGATGTAGCCGATGTTGTGGATTGGTTGGTTAGTGAGAAGAGTCGATGGGTTACGGGGAGTGTGATGGCGGCGAACGGTGGGGCAGAATGGGTTGGCGGGAGCTCCTGAAGAAAGGGACATTGAGAGATGGAAACACATGCTATGGTATGTCATATATGGACATATTCCTCTGATCGAATACAGTGGTGGTACATGTCTAATGGCGTCAAAGTGTCGTAAAGCGCCGGTATATGCTCGTGATGTTCCTCCGCCGTGAAATAACGCCAGAATGTTGCCATAGTATACAAAGCATGGACTATCGTACATTCTCATCCACCCGTACTTCGGACTGTATAGCCTCGTTATGGTTGATTGAGTCATGTTGGACCTCCCAACAGATCGCTCACTCTTGTTGAAGGTTTTGTGCTGCGTCTCTCAGGCTATGCCGCAAGCCAGTGGAGCTTGCCTTCCGGTAAATCATCAGTTACTGTTTGCATTGCCGACCATCTTTTCGATATCGCGGTCAATAGCTGGGGCGAAACCAAGCAGAACTGTGTTCATCATCATCGTTCCTCGATGAGATATTTGCGGTTACTTCGGGCTGCTCCGGAGATGGAGAGGCTTGGCTAACCTCCTCGTCTGTATCCTTGGGAGTATCCATTAACTTCCTCGCTATTTCTCTCTCCTTTTTGATTCGTAGTCTGGATTCCTCGGTGAAGGAGAACTGGGTAAGTGTATACTCGATTTTATCTTCGACAAGCTTCTTCATGTGATTTGCAAGGCTTCTGGTGGTGAGGATGTTTGGGAAACGATAGCTAAGCCACAGGTAGCATACAATCATTTTGTGCAAATCTTCTAGAGACCGAAGGTATTCGCGGGTTCTGGCAAGCGGCACATCCATGACGCCGAGTGGAAGGGTTTCGCAGTCAAGAATGCTACCCGACTTTCCATCAGCGATATAAGTAGCGAGCTCTTTCAGGAACTTGGTCTCGTTTGCCTTTCGCGAGCTAACAGGCGCAGCGCAGAGCGTGATACGGTCTTGGATGCTAAGATTCTCGAGTGGATGGAGTACATCCGCAATTGCGAGCTGTTCCCTGAGTGCGCAAAGATGAAAGCGAGGATTCATCTCGGAGATTGTGTGTAGCCGCAACAAAATGTAGCTAAAAGGTGTACCAGGCGGGAAGTAGCTGGCAAAGCGTTCAACGATTACAGAGGGCGGGAAAAGACCCGCTGAGGTGATGGCTTCAGGCTCCTTGTTCATGCCGGCTTTCAAGGATACCAAGTCATTTCTCTCCAGGGTAGTAGCCCATCCGACTGTTTGCGGCTCGGCCTGGACCACTTCTTCTGTGTCTGGCTGCTTGTCATCGAGGCCAATGACTGGATCAATGGCGGTATCAGCAACAGATGCCTTTTCAGAATCCTTGGTAATGGCTTGGTGCGCAGTCTTGTAGCGACCGGCGCGACCGGCAATCTGCTTGATTTCGGAGATTTGCAAAGGCACCAATTGCTCGCCGTTGTTCTTGACAGTAGTTTCAAAGATGACACGTTTGATGGCACTATGCTTGTTAGTTTCACCTCACGTATACGATTAGACAACGCTCACAGATTGAGGCCCATGCCAATGGCGTCACTGGCGACCAAGTAGTCATAGTCATTGTCTGGGTCGTTGAACAAGCGGGCTTGTTGGGCCCTTGTCTCTGGTGGTAGGCCTCCATACACGATAGCACACTTCTTGCCAGTCTTTCTCTCGATTAATCGGCGTAAAGCGTGAATAGCCAAGACACTAAAGGCGACGACGCAGTCGCCCTTTTCGAGCAGATTTAGGTTACCTTGCAAGCTACGATCCATGGGCTGGAGAGGGGTGAGACGGTTATATTCGTGGACATGCACTTTGTCGCCTACGAGAGCACAAAGCTCCCGCATTATCGGCACCGTACGCGCTTCTCCACAAAGATGGATTTCCCTCGCCTGCAGGCCTAGGAAAGCCTGCGTCCATGCCCAACCTCGTTCTTGGTGACTGATCATTTGTATCTCATCTATGACGGCGACATCGAAAGGGGTGTTGAGTGGGGCCATCTCCACGGTGCAACTGAACATGCGGGCACGAGTGTCGTCGGGCATGCGCTGCTCCTCGCCAGTAACGAGCGCGCACGGTTTCCCCTTTGCATTGAGGCGTGTGTAGACCTCATGAGCGAGTAGGCGTAGTGGACCGAGATAGATGCCCGAATCGACTTCTTCTAGACGTTTAAGAGCATGATACGTCTTGCCCGAGTTGGTCGGTCCCACATGCATGTGTACGGTCCGTTGGATTCCTCTTGTAGCCGGGTACCATTCAGCCGGATATCTCAAGTCGGCCACATGTTTCTGGTTGTCCTTCTCTGCGGGAGTGAACATGGGAGCATATAGATGGTGGTAGAAGCGTTGCCTTAGTTCTGCTTGTACTCGACCCGGATATTCCTTGGCCTTTTCTGCCAACTCTATCACCTCAGGCGTCGCTTCCCTGATGGCTTTGTTTATAGAGCGTTGAAAGGAGAGCCAAACGGTATCATATTCGTCAGTTGTGATTTGAAGCGACCTGAGGGACTCAGCCTGGCCAAGGTTTCTCTCGACTTGTGCCAGTACATGGCGGATAGCCTCGAACGGGTTGTGGAGGTGGCGATTGGGAGCATAGATTTGAAATGGGTTGTCCGGACGACGAGGGTTGAATTGAGGTTGTTTTCGAGCTGGCTTTCTTGACTGGACTCGGTATGCGACCTGGGTTCGGGGGAGGAGGCGCTGAGGTTTCGACGCTGGTGAGCGGGCGGCGGAGGCGCAAAAGAGGCACAACGAGTTGCGCCGTGTGGGCAAAGAAAGCATGCCAACGACGGGGTATCTTGAACTTTACACTACAGCGATTAAAAAGCCATGGATTACGGTAACAGCGAAGACTATCGTGTATAGTCAAAGGCGTTCAACATGGACCATGTCATGGGTAGAAAAAGTTGAGCCAAGCACTAGGGACTAAGTAGAGAATTAACGTTAGAGACCTCCGGCGGGCAAGGGATCGCGGCCGCAGCTGCAACACGGCCTCTAGCTCCACACACCAAACACGACATGCGCACCCTCAAGCCCAAGCCCACTCCTCTGTAATACCCATTGCTGCTCAACACACGTGCTACTTGTATCTTAACGCGACTCGCCTACCACCTTCACCACTCCTTCCTCTTGCGGTGGTGGCATAGCTGCTGCCATACCCCGCCAACATGGCTTCCATGATAGACATTCAGCGCGACAGTACGGGCACATGATGTATTGACTCTAGCTGACAGCTGCTGACACGGCCCAGTCATTCTCAACGCTATCAAGCAGACGACCCGCGGCGACGTACGAGCAACGCCCCCTTCCCATACCCGTCCTCGGCTGACCACGTCTACAGTGGAAGATACTCATCTTGGACGAAGACACTCAGAAGTTGATCAACAACGTGGTCAAGGAAGATGACATTCTCAACCTCAACATTACAAGTATGCGACCGCCGCTGTCGTGGTGAAGACTGGTTTTGACCCCTGCAGACATTGAGCGCATCGAAGACCGGCGGCAGACGATACGCGACATGGACGCCATATACATACTCACCCCCAAACCCCACATTGTCGACTGCATGATGGCCGAATTCGATCAGCGGCGGTACAGGGGCTTCTTCCTGATATGGACAACATGTGGGCATACACCAAGTATCCGCCCCCAGGCTCAGGCTGATGTGCATAGTACTACCACCACACCTCAAGGAGCGCATAGACCGGTCGCAGATGGCTCGCGAACAGATTCGAAGCTTCAGAACCGTACATCTCGACTTCCACCCCCAGGAGTCCCACCTCGTCACATTCAAAGACCCCTGGAGCTTTCCCATCCTCTACCACCCCGAATGCAACAACCTGGTCGTCAAGCATATGGAGGATATTGCTGAAAAGGTGGCTAGTCAAATCATGCTGGTAAACCTGCGCTGACGTGCTTTAGATAACAGGAATATGCGTTGCGCTCGGCGAATACCCCATCATTCGATATTACCGGCCGCGAAACCCTACCCACGAGGCCAGTGTCCTGTGCTCCCACCTTGCGCGTTTCGTCCAAGACAAGCTGGACATGTACTCGCAGTTCAACCAAGACTTTCCTCCACAATCGAACCGGCCGCGCGGTGCCCTCTTCATCACCGACAGATCCATGGACCTCATGGCTCCGTTTTTGCACGAGTTCACATACCAAGCCATGGCCATGGACTTGCTTCCTATACAAGACAGTGACAAGGTTACATACCGAACCATTGTCAATGAGGAGGATCCAGAAGCCGAGGAGAAGGACATGGAGATTTCCGACAAGGACAAGATTTGGGTCGAGAATCGCCATCGACACATGAAGGATACTCTCGACAAGCTGATTAGCGACTTTCAAAAGTTCATTGCCGACAACCCTCATTTCACCAACCAAGACGCTCAGAACGCTGCGGGTATGAATGGACTGAATGCAATCAAGGATATGATCGCGGGGTTGCCACAATTCCAAGAAATGAAGGAAGCCTACTCGTTGCATCTCACCATGGCGCAGAAATGCATGGAGATCTTCCAGAAACACAAACTACCGGACTTGGCATCAGTCGAGCAGGTGAGTGTCTCAGTAACCGCCTGTTGCTCGTACTAATGGATACAGTGTCTGGCCACAGGCCTCGACGAAGACTATCGAAAGCCCAAGAACATGACGGATCAGATGGTTAGGACCTTGGACGACGAAGAAGTAACGCCAGCGGACCGACTACGATTGATTGCGCTCTATGTTCTCTTTAAGAATGGGATACTACCAGCCGATCTTCAAAAGCTCCTGTTCCACGCACAACTTCCCCCACCCGATGGTGAAGTCATCCGTAATCTCGATCTTCTAGGTGCGCGAGTTGCCAGACAACTCAAGGAGAAGCGGGATGCGCCTCAGCCTCTCTTCCCACCTAAACCAGCGCCTCCACCAAACGCTGAAGATTATGGCTTGTCCAGGTTCAACCCAGCCTTGCAGGACATGCTTGAGGAACATGTCCGTGGCACATTGCCACAAGACGTTTTCCCATTCACCAAGATGTCGCCCGACGATGCCGCTCAGATGGCACAAGACAATTCTGCCCCAGCTTCTCTTCGCTCTGCGAAACCCACATGGGCCAAGTCGAGGCTAGCCAGCGTGGAACCCCGTCAACGTGTCATCGTGTTTGTGGCAGGTGGTGCAACATACTCGGAAGCGCGTGCCTGTTACGACGTTTCCAACAAGACATCGCGCGATGTCTTCCTCGTCACATCCCACATGATGAAGCCACAGCTCTTCCTCCGCCAAGTCGGCGATCTCACCCAACCCCGCCGCAGTCTCCGTTTACCCATAGACCAGCCCCAACCAAAAGCCCCAGAGCATCTCTTCGAGAAGCCAGAGCCGCCCAAACCAGCGCCACCTCCTGCCGGCACTAAACCCCAGATACCCGGAGGCCTACCAACTGGACCGCGAGTCGCTCCTGGCCCGCCCAAGCCCCCAACGGCTGCAATGGCTGCAGTCAATCTCAACTCGTCCAAACACAGCCCCGCGGCGTCTCAGAGTAGCACCAAGCCTGGGAAGGAGGAAAAGGAAGAAAAAAAGAAGAAGAAGAAGTTGCATTTGTTTTCTTCAAAGCATTAGTGGGGTGATTCTTCTTGTTGATGTTGGGTTAATTACAAGCCGCTTCGTGCGCGTTTTTCCTGTTCTGTTTTTGTTCATAGCGAAGGCAGGGGGCATCTTGATGCATGGTTTGACATGGCATGGCATGGCGTTGGGTGGTGGGATATATGTAACATCTTTGTTTGTTTGTGTCTTTGATAAAAGATTGACTCACTGGTTGGGTCGCAGGCATAGTGAGGTGTTTGGTGTTTTAGAGGCGAAATAATAATGCTGTTTTTGTGTTTTTGTACTTTGCTGAAGTGAGAGTTGTTGAAATTGGGAAGATGGAGCGCTAATTCGAAAATTTCTATGTGAAAAGAGACTGAGCTTCGTTCATGTTTACGCGTCTTTGACACGCAAATCTAATACAATCCCTTCCTTCCCTTTCCCCTCTCTTCTCCATTACTCCTATCATGCACCCCTCATCCTCGTCTCCCATCTCCCCCTCCCTACTCCATCCCCGGCGCATAAAACTCCCCCCTCACCCACGCCAGCTCCCCCTGCCCTGAACTCGACCCTAACCCCCTCTTCTCCACCTTCTCCCTTACAAACTCCTCATAACTCGCATACGGACTCCCCCTTTCCTGTGGGCGCTGGGCCGCCCACGCTAGATACGCTTTCTTCTCTGCTTCTGCTTCTTGTCTGCTTAATTCGTGTTGTTTGGGTTTAGGTTTGGGTTTCCATGGTCGGCTGCGGGTTTGGGACTGTACTACTTCTATTTCGTCCTGCTGAGTCTGAGATTGCGATTGTGCTTGTCTTTGTACTTGCACAACTCGCCGTCCGGTAACAGCATCTCTACCTGCTGCCTCACGTGCTTGAGCCAACAAGTCCACATGCGCTGGTGCTTTGCATGTCGTGGGTTCAGTGTGGCCGTGGTTGATGGGGTGGTGGGGTTGGGCATAGGGGTTCGTTTTGTTGCGCAGTTTGGAGAGGAAGCGTAGGGGTGCTGAGGTTATTGAGAGGCCGTTTGCCATGCTTGTGGTGGAGATGGAATGTATGAGGTGCGATGGTGGTGTAGCGAGGCGAGGTGAGGTGAGGTGTGGGGAAGAAGTTGAGGTGTGAGGAGGGCTGTGAACGTGGCGCGGTTGGTTGGTTTGGTTTGGTGAGCAACCAGGTTGATATGACCGTGCTGTCTTTTTCCGTGGGTGTGGCACCACCCTGTCTTGCTAAAGATGGACGGTTTGATGATATATCCCCTTGATATATCTTTAATGTTTTTCCTTTGGAAGTCGTAAGCTGCAAACCCCAAACACAATTCCTAGCTCTTTCGTACTATATATTCTCCTCTCAACATCATATGTAGCCTTTCCCTTGCTCTTCCAGGGGGGGGGGGTTGTTCCCAAAAAAACTCTTTCGTAACCACGCCGTCACGCGGCACAGCCAGGGTTCATATACGATTCCCAAAAGGGCGGTGTTGCAGCCTAGCAGGTACAGTTAGGGGGCTACGAGGCGTCCAGCCGCTAAGCCGTATCTAGCATCAAGCAGCATTCATGGAAGGCTGCCTATATGCCTATAATAGGAATGAAGTACAGCACGAAGAAGCGTATTGCAAGAACGACCATACCATTGCTGTAGAAGTAAAAACAACCAAAAGAAAAAATCAAAAAGGTATTAAACAGTGCACTACCGAATGCAAAACCAATAGAGTTCGCACGCTTCAAACCGCAGCCTCTAACCATCGTACATTTACCACATCCTCCCCTTTCCCTTACCCCCAGGCGCAGGACTGAGCGGTGGAAAAGCATCTTCCGCGTCTTTCCTGCTCTGTTCCTCAGCCAGACTCAACTGCATTGCAAACTCCAGATCCGACATTTCACTCTCATTGCTCGATCCCGCAACTGCCTTGCCTTTGCCTGCTCCATTGCGCTGAGAACGTGATGGCGATGCCTTCTTATCCTTTGCGTACTTGATGGGAATTTCAAAAGCAGATGGAGGTGTCAAAGCAGACTCGTATATGCTAGGACCCGAGTTATCGTTGAGCGAGAGACGGATGGCTTCAGCGATGTCGGCATCGAGCTCTTCGTCGTCTTTGATAGCCGGAGATGAAGACGAGGCCTGAACGCTTGGCTCTGGTATCATGGTTTCGGCGCTTAGTGCAGCGCTCTCGCGTTCAATGCGACGTAGCTCCTCTGCTTCCAAAGTCTCCTGGGAAAGCATCGCAGCATATGCCAAAGCCTCCTCTTCACTCAATAGTTCCGTACCAAAACGCCCAGCCAGACGCTCTGCTTGCTTGTGCCGCTCCTTCTCGTCACGTTCCAGTTCAAACTGTTCATTGGCAATATAATGCTTCAGGTTGCCCCTGCCTGTACCAGGGAAGCGCTCCCCAGCATTGTTGCTACCTCGCTCCGCCCTTCTTAATCGGCGTTTGCTACTCCTGTACTGGTCGGCTGCAGAGGAGCTATAACTCCAGAACCGGAGTTGATTGCCGAGCGACACGGCACCGCGTAGGACCGTCGGATCAGGGTCAAGACAAACGGCGCCAGCAGCAAACATGTTGATACCGACACCCTGGACAGAAGCCTGAGCTTGTACAAGCTGCCGGCGAGCGCGGGATGCATGGCGTGAGTGCAACGTCGTGATAGGCGACATGCTTGAAGCTAGAGGATCCCAAGCCTGCACCAGTCCATCGTTTCCACCGACAACAAGATAGAGAGAGGTGACAGCCAAGCATGATATTTCAGGTGAGTCGGTATAAATGATGCGTACAGGAGCAATGTCGTTTGTGTATTCCGATGATCGTGATACAGGTGCTCGAATGTCCCAGAGCAGTACAACACCAGACTTGGTACCGGCAGCTACGAATCGTGCTCGCTGGCCGGGAATGTCTGATGGAGACGCAGGCTGGCTAGCAACAGACATTGGCGAAGCGTACGGCGAAGATGCGGTTGAAGCAGTCGAGAAGCCAAGCGCAGGATCTTCAGACAGTGTCAAGGTGGCAAAGGTTGAGATGTCCAAGGTAGTCGCGGTCACCTGAGTGCTCTTGAAACCTCCAAAGGTGAGTTTCGAGCAGCGCCATTCCTCAACTAGATTTGCTCGTTCTGGGGAGCTGCTGGTCGAAATGTAGGACGAACTCCGCACACGCGGGGGCACCTTTGTTGGGTCTGGGGTGCCAGTACCTGGTCCGCCAAACAGTGAACTAAGTTGAGCAGATTGCGGTACGGATGTGGGTGTTGAGGTATTTGTGGTCTTGTCTTTTCCATCTGTTTTGCATCGGGTGAAGCGTTTGACGTTGGCGATATCTCCCTCCTCCAGTCCGCACTCAAAGACAATCATGGCTTCACCAGCATAGTGGCCGTCGTCCCCAGCAAAGTCGATCTCCAATCTGCGACGCATATCCCATCCGAGACAGACTTTTCGGAAATGTTTTGGTGGCTGGCGGAGGAATTGTTGTATCTCTTTCGTCTCTGCAGTAATCTGCTCTTTGCTCAAACACATACCATCCCATGAAGTCCGAGGAGAATAGCTGCCATCTACGTCGGCATCACTGTATGGATCCGGTCTTGCTGTTCGTCGGCTAGGCTCAACCAGATTCCAGTAAACGCTTCGGCCTGTAAGCCAGCCCAGGTACTCGGTATGTTGCTCCATGTCACCCTTCGGAACCTGACTGCGAGTTGGGAACTTGGTCAGATAGAAGACTTCGCCAAGCGCATTGAGAGCGACTGCCCAGATGCGGTTCTGAGCATAGCGCTTCGATGAGTATTGCTCATCCACAGCAATGGCGATAATTGGCACGCCAGGGCTGAGCACCCAGCGTGCAGTCAACTCGCCACGCTGTACCCGAGACGAACGAAGACCATCGGTGCCGATGCTGCAAGCGGTGACAACACCAGCCGCAGAACCCACCATCATACCAATCAAGCCCTCGGAGAGTGTTGGAATGGTGCTTGACTTTGCAATCCAAACACTGCATATAGCACCACCATCGATACCGAGCTTTGGTATACCAGCTTCTGGCAGTGTGAAGTCGCTCGGTTCAGCAATGAAGCGGCCACGCATCTCCTCGAGGGAGCGATAGTAACACGAGCCTTCAGGGCATCCCTGACCATAAATCATGCCGTAAGGTTGAGACACGTCCATGACATTGGGACAGCCAACTACCTCTCCAGAACCCAGCCCCCATTCGGCAACGCCTGGAAAGCGTCCGCGAATTGACCATAGAAATGAGGGTCGCTCTGTCCCCAAGGATCCACCTTCCCAATCACTGGGTCGCTACTGGTCACCATACCAAATATCGTCGGCGCCATGAATGAAGCGGGGCATCTTCTTGTTCAGACCCGAGCCGAATGTTGCTTGTAGATGGTTGATGATGGTATACGTTTTGGCGTCATATGTGATCATTGGAGTGACAGTCTGCATTTGAGCAGCGCGGGAAGGTGTCGTGGGGACTTGGACGGGTTTGCCCCGGACAAGGGATCGCAAAAGCCTGGTTCGCAGAATGTACTCGCTCCTCCAGGACGCCAACGCAGTAAGCCTAGCAAAGCGCCGTTTCTCAGACCGAACAACAGTACCATTATCTTCTTGCGCTGAGCGAAATGCCGCATCTTCAAGGGAATGTGAACCGGGGAAGTAGCGACCGAAAGCAACCTGCCACGCGTGTGGGGTAGTTACTACATCATGGAAGCGGCGGGAAACAAGGGACACGGCGGCGAGGTCATTTGGCGAAAGATGGGCAATGGCGTGAATCAGGACCTCTGTGGAGAGTCAGAATACGGCCCCGACTATGTATTCATGGACTATAGGATCATTTATACGTACCATTTGGCAGTTTTGCAATAGGGGAACTCTTATCACCAGGCTTCGTATTGGCCTTGATAACCTCAAAGAGGGGGCCATCAGCATGTTTTCGCGGCGAATTTGCGAGCGCATTCTCATATTCGGTAATTCTATCCTTCGGCGGTGGGGAGGATGAGGCGACAGCCTTCAGTCCATCGGGCTCCCCGGTGTGATTTTCGTTGCTAATGTCGTCTGGACGCGTCGCATAGACTGCAGGTCCACCCGTTGGTGGTTCCCTCCACAGCTCACTCTTGTGAGGCTGCAGAGAGTGCTGCAAGTCATCGCTGCGGCGCTGTCCATGCTGGGAGGTGGTCTCGGTGGGAAAAGTGATTTGTTGGTGGGAAATGTTGTGTGATGCGCTTATAGGCTCTGGCTGCATAAAACTTTGGGGGCGTTTCGTGGGAGAGAGCAATCGACCGAGCTTGTTGGCAGGGCTCAGTCAAAGTTTATGGGATGCGTGCGCGGTTCGGATGGTCTGTGATGTTGGTGTTGAAGGATGGCGCTCAGGTGTTCAGAGGAAGGTTAAGTGACTCAATTGCCGCCAAGATAACAGATGTTAGTGAGCAGGATGACGATCGCCACCTGCACCCTCACGACGCGAACGTGGGGTACTAACAGAGATTGTACTGGCAAATCGTATTGATTGCCCCACTGTTTGCTTTTGCAGTCATCACAAGCACCACTTAGTACAATAGTGTATCAAGGTAAATCGGGATGATTCCGATAACTTCCGAACTATCGCATCAAAGCCAAACCAGGTGTATCAACCTCTGTACTAATACAAAAGGCATGTGAAGAACGCCAAGCTATATGCAACAAATCCCACTCTCTACTTAAGCCTCAAGGTACGTATAGTCGCGAGTATGCCGCCACATTCGTTCTGCAGCATACGCACGCCGTGTAGTTCTTGGACGCCAGCCCCACCCTACAATCATCGCACAAGCTGAGGCACCCACACGGCCATACCAACACTGTCCTCGGCGACATTTGACAAACCACACATTGAGGTCCATCAGAGCCCATACCCTCTGCTCCCGTATCCCAGCTTCCTGCAGTATTCGCGCCTTGTGGTGCCGTTGCGCTTCGCCGGTTGAGTATGATATCCTCAAGAAGTTGCTCTTCTTCTTCTGGCGACATATCGTCGCTGCCACCCACCTTGTACCTTGACGTAGTCAAGATTTTGGCTTCTTCACGCTCTAGAGCCTCCCTGTACTGCGAGCGTGTCATGATTTTCGAGCTCTGGAGATGTCGCGATAACAACTTGGCTTCCTCACGGTCTTCCCTCGTTCGTGGATCGAGAAGCTGAGAGAGACGAGAGAAATCCATAGCATCATCAGCCAAGGGAGTTTCTTCCCGACTGCGTTGGTAGCTATCGCGCGTGGGTGTTCGTTGGCCGTCATCAATGTCTGACCACTCATCGTTGTCTGTCGTAGTAGCAAATGACACCACGCTAGTCGTGTCATCGTCTTCTGGAACAACATAATCTTTGCTGTTGTCGACGTCGTTCCAGATACCGCCGTTACGCCACCAAGAATACAAGTAGTCGTTCAAACGCTCCTCGGAGACCTCAGTATCTGGCTCCGCGTAGAAACCGCTCTGTCGAAGTCTTTCTTTGGCGAAGGACTCCACGTCGAAAGCTTGGTCCTGACGAACTCGAGAACGGTCGTCCATAGTCAGCCACGGGTCGGCCGATATCGTCTGATAGTGCGACCGCCCTGGCCCTGATGTTGGAGTGTAGAGTTTCTCTGCATAGCGATCGGCAGCACGTTCTAGCCATCTAGGTCGATAGCTGATGGCAATCTTGGTCAGTGTCCAGTCTGTGATTCTCGCAGCGCTCAGTATTATCAGCTTTGCTATGCGGAGGAAGAATTGGTATGCCTGGAAATAACGGCTACGCTGCTGGAGAGCTGGGTCATGCTGTCCCATGGAGCTGGAAGGATCCGTAGGCGGCTTTACACCTCTTGTCTTGCGCTCTTTCGCGTAGCCTGATGTTGATGTGCCAGTGTTGATGTCAGTAAAGTTGACTGCCTCTACACCTGGCGCAAATGTCTCGTTCTTGAGCTCAGATGGGATGCTGCAGAGTGCTTCGCGGGTTTTTCTTCGCCGGGCGAGAAATTCATGCAGTCTCTTCTTGTCTAGCCATGTTGTGGGATGCACATTGACTTTGGTTCCCTCGTTGAGAAATACAGCCTCGCTGGCGGCAGTCAAAATCACGTAGCCCACCTTGAGAATGGTAGTGTAGAAGTCTTCGTGCCAGTTGATGGTTAGAGGCGTTATTGACGACAAATGAATGTTGGCATGTAAATTTCCATATGCAGCTGCAAACCTTTCCCTCAGTGTCCCAGTCTGTCCTGCAGGTGGAGAGAGTACAGTAATGAGTAGAGCTAGAGCATAGATGAAGCCACATACAGTGATGCCCACCAATATCAGCAGATGTGGGATGAAGCCGATGATGCACACTGTGGGGAATCTCAGTATGCCGACATGGTGATCTGGATCAGCGACCATCAAGGTGAGACGATTGAAGCTCCAAGCGAAAGCTGACATGTATGCGAGCCCCCAGATGGTAGTGGTGACGAGCCGGTATCTTGAACGCACGCCAAAGATTGCCAATAGGTTGCTGGTAAAGTAACTAAGACTGGAAATGAGTGAGATGAGCAAAACTTCCGGGGGTACATTGGCCATTCTGGAAAGCTTTGACTTGGGCATCATGAGCAAGGTGCCATCTGGAGTGAAGATGGACTTTTGTTTGAGAAAGTGAGTCAGAGCTTCAGCCTCTGCAAAGGCAAGCGAATGCTCGAAGATGGTCATTCCAACTTCTTGAATGGGACGACGACCTTGAAGAGCGCATGCCAAAGTGTCGATGAACTGACCAAAGCCCAGGGTGAGGAACAGAGGCCAAAGAAGAGCCATGGATCCAGCCACTCGCGGTAACGAGGGATCCAATGGGAACATATTCGCCGCTCGGCAAGACTCCTCTGTCGTTTCCCAGAAGAGGACTGTTGACGCAACACGCCACAGAAAGCCACCTTCCCCGGCAAAATCTGTATCCAGCTGTCTATCAGGCGCACCATATTGCATCTCTGACCACCCTGGACATGTTTGACAGCGTATAGCCCGTAGCACGCTTTGTATCTGGAAAAGAAACATGGCCAGGGGTAAGATGTAGAGGGCGAAGCGAAGGTAAAGGCGGTCGAAGGAGAGTGGTACCCGACTACTTCGTAGAGTGGTCGATAGACTATCATCTGCACGAGTGTCGTCAATACAGCGTGTTATCAACATGCTATGCGCCGAAGAAGCTTACCAGGGCAAATGTCGCGATGGCCCATTTGGACGTTATGTAGCTGAACCAGGTGGCTACGTTCCTCAGGGCTTGCCATGCTGTCATATCTGCTCGGCGACCGAGGCTGCTGATGCCACGGCGACGACAGATTCTTGTACAAAGCTGGCAGTGATGGTTACCGTGGTGTTAGTCAGGTTCGCCGTCGGTTCCGCGATGATGCTGCCGCCTGAGCGCATCATGTCTCCAAGAGAGGTAGCTTTGGCAAATAGACGCGGCAAGGCCATGAGCAAGTCCACGGGCGACGGCAGGAACGAGGTTGCGTTGGTGAGCGCGCCGGGCGTCTCCATGGTGGACGATATACGGCAATCCGACAGAGGCTATTAGGAGCACACGAGATGTCGAATGATTAAGTTAAGTCGTCATCAAGGTTGGTTCATGGTTACTGGAAGTGCAGGCATACTCAGCAGACAGCGTTTGTCGGCTATGGAAGAATGAACAAAACACGCGCCGGTCGTATGTTCCAAGTTTGGTACGAGACCTGGCCGTCCTGACATGGCGACCCGGTCAGCGTGGGGATGACGCTAGTTAGCGGCGGGCATCTGCAGCTAACCTTGGAAACTCCGCACGGCTTCCGCGGCTTCCTAGATACCTATGTACGTCTTATCACCGTTTCACCCCAGTCGCGGTAGACGTGGTGGAGATTAATAACAACAGTCTACTATCATCACACACACACACACACACACACACACACACACAACAATCACAATGCACATGAGATTGATTGCTGTCCAAACATTTACATATCATAAACACTGCATCTGAACGCCATTCATGCTGGGGTATGATACATGTATACACTCAAGACTTTTCTCATCTACGCTGTCTTGGGCTTCTTCGTTCCGTACTTGGACCGAGATGTGATTCTGCTACCAACACCACCCTGCAACTTGTTAGTCTTCAGTCTTGCTTCGACACCATACAACTTACCAAGTCCAATGCTCCTCTAACCAAATGGTACTTCACACCTGGGCAATCCTGCGCTCGTCCGCCGCGCACCATGACGACTGAATGCTGCTGTACATTATGCCCTAGACTTTTCGTTAGCCCTCTTCCAGTACCCCATCACACTTATACGTACCTTCGCCAGGAATATACGCCGTAATGACCTTTCCTGTACTCAGTCTGACCCTCGCAATCTTTCTCTCACCCGAATTGGGTTTCTTCGGCTTCGTTGTGCCTACTTTCAAGCATACACCCTTCAACTCTGGCCTATCCCTCAGTTGGGGTGATCGCAGCTTTCGTGCCTTTTGCGCTATCCTTCCCTGCCGCAGGACTTGTATTAATGTACATTTGTGCGCGCGCGATGACGGTGTCGGCCGGATTGTGAAAGCGGGTGAGGTTGTCTGGAAGGCCGTGGCAGCGATTGAGGGCCATATCGACCGGACCGAGGTGAATGAAGCCGACGAGAAGGCTACCGGCCGTACTAGGCGTCGTAGAAATGTGAGGGGCATCGTTGGCGGTTTGGTGGGCTTGCGATGCTGGTCTAACACAAAAGTTCAAGATTCAACTTGATGGATGACTAAGCGGGCATGTTCCCTTGACACGCAACCCCATCCAGTCTTTCACTGCATCATCACGCAACATTTCATCATTTCTGTTGACAATCCAGTCACCAGCTTAATCACAGCAATCTAGTTCTCGTTTTCTTTTTCTCTCTTCACGCTGCTGAAATGATCGCATCCATCGTCTTCAGTTCATGACGCAGACTACAAAACTCACTGGCACACACGGTATACCGTTAGTCATTCCAGACCATCACTATTACCCACGTGTTCTACAAGGCAAAGGCAGCCAAAATAATGTGTCGTTCACTCATCAAGAATGCTCGCCCTTTCAGCGAGCCCGGAATGCAACTATCACCAAATAGTCGACAGTCGAGAACTTCGAAGTGGGCTACCAAACACCATCCTAGTGAAAAGATACGATGTCGGCGCTGTGTCTCTATTTTTGCAGAGCACGAGAAAACACGTTTCTACGACGCATCCAACAGCACTCTTCTCCACTTTCCAGCGCAACATTGCAACTATTTGAGACGAATATCTAGACAATCTAACATCATGCTCGTCATACAGGCGATGAAGGACTCCATCAAGTCGTCCCTTGCATACCGCGCGTCCTACACGCACCACCTTCTTGGCCAAGGAATGCCCTTCCTCTACCATAAATACACTCAGCCCCACAACCCTTCCTCTGCACCCTCGTTTACCTTTGCTAACCCTCACCTGTCAGCACACACTGATACTCTACACACTCACTTCCATCTTGTTACTAACCAAAAAGCACCCCAACGCGTTTCCATCACAAAAAAATTTGACCTTATTCCCCTCGCTCCCCTTGAATTTCTATCCTCGTTCTTTTGCTTCTTCACTCTTTTACTCCCTTAACCCACCACCGCAACAATGAAAGCCATCGGCTACTTGGTGGCCGGGGCGGCCCTCATCCCAGGGCTCGTCTCCGCGCTTGATCCAAACAACATCACCGGATGGCGTTACCGAGGATGTTACTCGTACGGCCCATATCCAAACCCCCCCTCCCCCCAGTTTTTCTCTAACACAGCCAAATAGCGACAAACGCTTCACGAATACCGCAGCATGCTGGCTACCCCTCGACGACCCTTCACCCGCCGCGGCCAGTCTATGGCACATACGCCTACCCCCGTACCCTAAACGGGCTACTTCTACCGTGTCAACCCCAACGGAGGATCAGTCTGCACAACCACGTGCACAAACCTTGGTTTCAGATACGCCGGTACAAACGACAACATGTGCTGTACGTCTCCCTGTTCCTCCCTACCCCATTCCACCAACCAACCACATCTAACACACACACACAAAACAGTCTGTGACAACGCCATCGCAATCAACGGAACAAGCGCAAACGGCACCTACACGTACGGTCTTCCCGACCCAGATAACTCGCTCTGTCAGTTCGGCTGCAGAAGTAATCTAGGCGAAGCCTGCGGTAACAATGTCAATGCGGCCAATGAAAATAGGATTTCGCTCTATGAGCTTCTTCCTAACACGACGACTAATGCAAGTCCAAGCGGTTTCGTTCGAATGTCTGTGTGCGTATGCTCAAGATTGTGTTCTTTTTTTGTTGTTTTGTATCCATGTATGCTTGAGAGTGATGTTCGGATCGGAATCGAGAATCGGACGAGAACGCAAACGACGTCGAGACGAGATGGGATGGGATGAAGGGTGGGTGACTGGTTCAAGAAGGTGGAAGAGGATTGAGATGGACTTGGATGGGATAAGATACAGAAGGGTTCAAGAGGTAGTGGTGAGGAACTGTCTAGAGCGGAGAGGGATGTACATAGAGGAGAAGGTTAGGAGGAATCAATAAGAGTCGGGAATGTAGTACATATGTGCATCAAGGGGGAAGGAAATGGTGCTGGACATCATGTATAGTTATCCTGGGGGCGGGGAGTACTGTATGATGGTCGTTGTTGGTGTGAGAGGGGTGGCGTAGTGTACAGCCAACCCAAACCCCAACTACACAATAACAACCACCTACCCACTCCACCATCCGCTCTACCAGTTGAAAATACCAAACAGTGACATGAAACAACAACTACATTCTCTCAAATCCATGAAACCAAACCTGCACATGTGAAAGAACCGGGTATCAACCGCATCCATAACTCCCAGAATAAGCAAACCCTAAATCGAACCACATACACGCCTCATGGCTCCAACAACCCCTCCATCTCCGCCCTATCCCCCTTCTCCCCTCTAAACTTCAACCCCGCATACAACCCCCCCTTAACAATCTCCTTCGTCTCTCCCATCGTCCCAAAACAACAATGTTCGACCCTGCCCAACGGCCCTTCCCTCGCCCCCTCCGCATCCTCAATCAGGACCCCAAACCTCAACTTCGTCTTCGCCAGCTCCTTTGGAAAAGGATCGCCACCCAAACACGCACCGACACTAAGATGATCCAGCGTCGGATTCCTCGTCGTAGCCAAGATACGAGAGAAGAGGACATCACTAGCCACCCCATTCCCATACAACGACCACGCGCCCACGAGGATGAAAGCGAATGTGACGGCGATGACAGCTGCGTACCCGATCCAGAGATATTCTTTGTAATATACAAACGCCATCATGGACCGCGATTTCACACACTCGATTTCCTGGGGTGCAGCGACAACGAGCGTGGGTTCGTTTAGTAGAGTGATGAGGATGTCTTCGAAGAAGGTTTGGATCTGCGCGCTGAGATCCACAAGTGGGTACGAGGTACTACTATTGACAAGCCTCGTCTCCGAAATGTCAGAGTGCGTGATGAGGAAATTCTGCTTCTCGATGCTGCCGCGGAGGAACTGGCGGAGCAGCGCGCCAAGGGAGTGGTATGTAGCTGCTAGTTTGTACGGTGTACCGCCGTCGTCTTGGGGGCGGAGGTAGTTTTCAGGGGGCGAGGCGGTCCAGTTCGTGTGGTCTTGCGGGTCCCATTTTACGGTTGTGTCGATGACGGGACGCAGGAAGGTGCGTTGGGTGCGGTTTGCGGTTTGGCGGGGGGAGTAGGTCATTTTGAACGTGTAGTTTGTGTGTTGCATTACGCATTTGAACATTTTGGGTGTGTGGATGTATTCCCATTTTGCCTTGTGGGGGGAGTTGTCGTCGTAGGGTTGAGAGGTATTTATTGCGTAGCCAATCCAGAGGTTGGGCTCGCTTTTCATTACACCCAAGTTATCGCCTTCGGTGGCGGGGTCCTGGTAGCCGTAGTTTCCTTGGTCGACGTCTGCGAGATAGGTCAGGTTTCCGACTGGTGCTAGTTGGTCCAGGCTGAAGGGCGCATTCTCTGCTTTTGGATCTGGAACATCGTCGCATTTGTATCCTGGTCCCATGAAGGTGATTGGGTATGTGCAGTTCCAACCATCCCCACAGAAAATCGAGGATGCGTTCTCCCGGGGCTGTGGCTTTTGCATGTATACGCTGCTAAAGGCCAGGCGACGGGCAGTCTTCGACGGCTGGTCGTAGTAATCAAAATATCCTGGCTCCTTCCCCAACGGATCCGTAGTGTTGTAGAAGTTCAAAGACTTTAGACCGGCCACAGCCTTGTCACGAAAGTCGTGTGTAGTCTCCTTTGCGAAGTTGAGGTTCGCTACAGAACACGTCGCATTCATATCTACTGTCCTAAGCTCGGAGGTGAGTGAGGCCGGAGATAGAACAGACGCAAGCGGTATCAGCCTTGGCAGATATTAGTAATGTTGGATTGTTGGAGATTACTCAACCTACCATGAACAAACGGCCATGAATGTCGCAAGCTTGCCATTCCTGACCATTTCCCAATTCAAGAAGAATTGTGACGGGTCCTCCGTTGCTGAGAATAAGCCATCGATGCCCTTGATTGTCATGGCTTTCCGTCTGAAGGTGTACCAGATTCGTTGGCGGTTACACATGACGACGGCTCCCACAAACGTACTCTTGACAAAAAACGCCAGGGCTGTTCCGTACCTCACCATCCTCAATTGGTCTATGGCTGGCTGCCCATTGAGATGATTGTAGAACAAATGGTGGCCTACTGCCGCCATGAAGCCCGCCAGGAACAGGAATATCACCAGCGCTGGTGTGGTCCAATAGATATGCCATTGTGCCAATTCGCCCGCTCTGCTCGCCACGAGAGCCTGTGTATCCGGATCTGACGATTTGCCTCGGTAGAGAGAGTTTACTGTATATGTAGAATCTCTTGCCGACCGTAGTGACTGCCGGGGACTGAGAGTACCGCCCTGCACCTGCGCATATTGGCCTTTGGTAGGCGTGGCTTCGAGATATCTGTCCGACTGCAACCGAGGAGTCTCGCTAGGGGGTTGACCGCGCATATCATATGCGTCTCTTGCGTCCAGAGAAGATCGCGACATATGTCCAAGTTCGATAGGGTCACGGAAGGGATCGTAAGGTTCGTGGCGCGACTCTGGCGATACGTCTCGCGAGGAGTAGGCGGACTGAGGTCCTCTTGAAGTCATCGTGACTGTTGTTCGGGTGCTTATGTCTCCGAGCTACTGTTTCTGAACAATACAGGCGTTCAGCGTAGAGCTGCACATGAGGTGAGGTGGGCGCATACAGCTACTCAACGTGAAGACAATGTGGAAAAAGCTTCGGTTAACACGGACACTGCTGTACAAGTTTTGCGGAGTCAGACAAAGGAAAGGCAGGCGACATAATCGCCGATAGTAATGCTTAGACCCTGAGTAACTGCGCCAGGTGGAGTCCGTTTGACAATGATGCGGTGTTGCGGCGGCGCCGGGCGAGGGCGCAAGTTGACCTGGGCAGCCATTGGCAGCCTATCTCACACTAAGCACTACTACAGCTAGGTGGCTGGAAGTTGAAGACACTGGAGCTGAGCGAGTGAAAGCCTAATTTGCTTTCGATATGCACAAGATGAGATTCAATGGTTCGTGATCGGACATCGGCATGCTGTTCGTGGGCGGGCACGTGTGTGAGGGTCCATGGCTATTGCCGCCAAGCTACGCAATTGAGCCTCTACGCAATGTCTAAAAGTAGATAAGATCGGACCAAAGTCATGATTTGCATATGGCGCGCAATAGAAGGGGCAGTTCAAGTTGTGATTCCAAGGCGTTCGCATGTCTCATTGTTGTTTACTTTCAGGTGGGACATGTCGGATGTGACCTGGACAAATCAATGGAGCTTCGTCCGGTATGTGGTGAGATATGGTCTTGAATGTGTCGTACCTGTAGAACGTTATGGAAAGGTGCGGGGCATGAGCGCGCAAGCCCACGCGACAGCCTCGTGTTTCTTTACTGCCCCACTCAAACTACATCAGGCTTACAAATTCAATTCACCTGCACTTCATGGGTATGCCGAGAGCCGTTTGCATATGCCATATCATGCTCCCAATCGCAAAATTTACCATTTCCCGAGCGATCCCCGAAAGAGCGGTCTTCTAGAGCCTTGACGCCTCTCCAAGATGCAAACGTCGGCAGTCGCCAGGCATACACCATGGCGATGACTTTCCTTATCCCCAACTAGGCTGTCTCCGTTAAGTATGATTCGGCTATAGACTTCCAGGACTTTGCCACTTTAGTTCCACGCTAAGAGCCGAGGATAGCATGACGGCCGTCGGGAGCTCTAACGTGAAAAACACTGGCTTGAGTCTCCGTTGTTGCGTCATTATTCGGACCTTTGCATCGTCTGGGCTGGAAAAACATAACTCTTGTCGAAGAAAAAGTCTCTGAGAGGACATCACTCTGACAGCTTTTTCTTGTTCCTGATATCTCTCGAGTAATTCTTATCGTAATTCTTGCATCATCGACTGGTCCGAAGAATCTCGCAGTGGTTTGCAAGGGCAATCGTCTTGCTATGTACGAGATCAACATGGTCTAATGCAAGGTATCCAGTGCCCCACATGCACATGGCATGTACGTAAAGAGCAGGCATCGGGCAGGGCGGAACCGTTGGAACGTCATGGAGGTTCGAGGATCATCTGAGTACCTTATATGATCATACAATGCTCCTACATTTCGACCCTCATACCCCTCAACTTGAGATTCACACATACACATAATGGCACCAACAACAACAAAGGCGTGGACTGTCCAAGGCCAGGATGGCTTCGATTCTCTCAAGTTCAACGAGCAGGCCAAGATCCCTGAGATGGGTGATATGGATGTTCTCGTCAAGAGTATGTAGAGGCAATTGATTTTGTACACGAATGCTTACAATCATTGTAGTCCATGCCGCATCCTTGAACTACCGTGACCTCATAATTCCCAAGGGCAAATACCCCTTCCCCATGAAGGACAACATCGTCCCAGGTTCAGACGGCGCTGGCACTGTCGAATCAGTCGGCAAGCACGTCACACGCTTCAAGCCTGGAGGTACGTCCTTCCCTCAACCCAGACACACAACCCACCTCTAACAATTGCCAGACAAAGTCGTCACCCTCTTCAACCAAGGCCACATCGCCGGCTCCCTGGACGCTCAATCCCTCGGCACCGGCCTGGGTGGCGCTGTCGACGGCACGCTCCGCGAATACGCCGTCTTCTCTGAGCAAGGCCTTGTCCACGCACCCTCCAACCTGAACATGCTCGAAGCCTCAACCCTTTCCTGCGCCGCCCTCACAGCCTGGAACGCCCTCTACGGCCTCGAGTCGCGCGCACTCAAGCCCGGCGACACAGTCCTGACACAAGGCACTGGCGGCGTCAGCATCTTCGCCCTCCAATTCGCAAAAGCCGCCGGCGCACGCGTAATCGCCACCACCAGTTCCTCCGCCAAAGCCGACATCCTCAAAAAGTACGGCGCCGACCACATCATAAACTACAAAGACACACCCAACTGGGGTGAGGAAGCTGCCAAACTCACACCCGGCGGCAAAGGCGTTCAGCACGTTGTTGAAGTAGGTGGTCCAACGACTATGGCACAGTCCCTCAAGGCTGTTGCTATCGACGGCGTCATCACGATTATCGGCTTCATTGGCGGTATGAGCAAGGACCAGCCGACGTTTTTGGACTGCTTGAACAACATCTGTACGGTTAGGGGTATTTTGGTTGGCTCGAGGCTGCAGATGGAGGATATGAATCGCGCGATTGATGTTAATGATATTCATCCTGTTGTGGATGAGAAGGTTTTTGAACTCAAGGACTTGAAGGAGGCGTATCAGTATATGTGGGATCAGAAGCATTTTGGCAAGTTGACAGTTAGGGTTGCGAAGGAGTAGGCGTGGTGCGTGTAGATAGATGGACTGTAATGAACATGATGATTTGATTATTAGATGTGTTGCGGCGATTTAAGGACGTGATTACTTCCTGAGTGAGTTCCTCACCTGCGTTACGACTTGCGTATCTTTCCCCACATTCCCACTGATGTCTTGGAATGTTGTGAACAAGCACGCACTTCACCATGAAAACTTTCACCAGCTCAAACAAAGGAGTATCAACAAGTATGTATGGTATATCATTCCATCTAAACTTTTGTACACGAAGAAGCAGCATTAAAAAAACTTGACAAGCATCGCATCTGGAAGGCTCAAAAGCCGAAAAAACACGCAACTACGCAAAAAAGCAATCCAGCATCTCTGTATGTGTGCTGTAGGGTATCATGTGGGTATCATGGTCGTCAATCGTAAAAGCCGCGTAGAGCGACCGAACCGAACACCTTTTGTATGCGCCATTGCTGAAGCAGAAGAGAGACCCCTTTGATGATGCAGCAAGCAAGCAAGTAAACCTTGGTAAAACGCCAACCAATCAAACCACGCAATGCAATGTAAAGCAATAAAAATCAAATCGTATGTCGGAGTGGAGGAGGAGATTAAAGCTCGCTCAACCGAACTCGGTTGTAGGGCGTCCGGCGAGCAAAGTAGCCGCAATACGCCTACGAGCATCGTCCATGCCGTCGGTGGGGAGGACGAGATTAGTGTCGTCTCCGCGAAGAAGAGCCAAAGCGTTCAGGAGAGTAAAGACACCACAGTCGCTTCCGTTCATCTGCTGCCGGCTGCGCTGAACTGTGTCTTTGTTCCACTCGCTAGGGATGAAGAGGTCGCCAAGCTCCTTCTCTAGATACGCCATGAGTTTGTCGATATATTTCTGTCCGTCAAGACCAAGCGAGTCGAGGTACTCGATGGAGCGATCCTTGGGGTACACGGCCAGTAGGCGCCAATGTCCGTTATCGCAGATGGGATAGAGAATGAGTTGCGCATCCAGATATTGCTTGCCCTTCAGCTGGGCCCTGCCAGACCAGCGAGTTGTATCGGCGGCAGCGTACCAAAAGGAAGAAAAGGCATGCACTGGAGGTGCCGGGCCCCCGCGCTTATGCTCGAAACCTGCCTCCTTTTTCTTGGCAGCGACGATGATGGAGAGATACTCGTTGACGATGCTATCATTAAGCCAAGCCTTGGGGCTGCCGTTGAAAAGGCGAGGCAGCAGGGTTCCGAAATCCCGAGCGTAGAGTTTCTCGTCAATGACCCACTTGTCTGACTTGAGACCGTTGCTGGTGTCTGCTGCAGCGGCTTCCAGAATCGCAGTTTCTTCAGGTGAGAGAGGAGTGACAAGCGGCTTAGGCGGAGGCGGAGGAGACGGAGGAGACGGAGAAGGCGGTGGGGGTGGCGCCAGTGCCAGCTTTTTCTGCATCTCATTCTGAAGATCTTCGAGAAGTTCAAAGGAGATTTGAGACTCTTCGAGCGAATCATCGGAAGCATCGAAGGTATCGTCAGGAACGCCATGGAAACCACTGTTGCTGTCTGGACCGCGCTGAGATGTTGTTTGGGGACTGTTGGTCGCTGATGATTCGCCAGAAGAAGGGGCATAACTGTCATCTGTGATCTGGTTGTTGGCTGGGAAGTTACGCCAGACTCCCCTCGCAGGGCTGGAGCCGATGGTTTCTAGCGTAGAGTCGAGCATTTCGCTGACCCTTTCGTCGTAGTAGAATCGCTTAGCCCCGGCGTATACTGCCCATTTTACGCCTTTCCTAGGAGATGGGGTCGGAGCATCCGACAGGAAGGAGAGGTCGTTTGTGTATTCAAAGTCCGGAACAGAAGAGTTGACAACAGACTCGGGGTTGGTGTTGATGTGAGGTGGTGATGTCGAAGCATGTGATATGTAGTGGTCGCAATCCATGGCATCAGTGGGGCTAGTGTTAACTGGCTCGGGTTCGGCCTCGGCAGAACCTTTAGCCGGAGAGTCCACCTGAGCATCTGCATTGGCTTGTCGTTGGCCTGCAAGAAGACTGAATTTCTCGGCGAGTTGTCGTTTGACAAGTTGACGACGGAGAGGTGTAGCAGTGGACGTTTTAAGGATCGACCGACGACCGAAACGCTGGGACCGAGGCTGCACTCCTACCGGTTCCGTGGTTCGCGCTGTAGGAACTTGTAGACCATTGGACGAGAGCAATGGTTTCGGTGCAGTACTAGTACCCACAGATTCATTCTTGACAGTAGGTGACAGGTGACACGGACTGTTCCAGGATACATGTACGGGTGAACCGGTCTGCGGATTGCGCGGGGGGGTCGAGGTGAGGATGTCATCGAAGGAAAAGTCTATGCTCATGTCGACATCTTCGTCAAACTCTTCGTCGTCGCCGAACACAGACTTTGGCGGAGTCTGAAGTCCCTCGAAGTCGGGTGCAGTGGCTAGCGGTGATGTGAATGGAATAGTCGCATGCGACGAGGCGTTCGATTGCTGGGGGCTGAACAGTCTGCGCCACAACTGAGGTGCTTCGGAAGAGGCATGCGTCTGGTTGTGCTCGAGACTACGGCGACGCGACTGGTTTTCGTGCGCACGCACTGAGGGTGACGGTGTCGCGACATCATCTGCCACACCCGCGGCGATGAAACGCCTCTTATTGCCGCCTGATGAGCTGACCACGGGTACAGCCTTGATAGTCTGTTGGCGGAAGAAGCGGCCAAGTAGCCTTGCTGGTAGCGCGCACATGTTTACGATGGCGGTAGTCGCGACCCATTTGCCAATGGTGGTGAAGATGGTGCTGCTCCGGGCAGGCGCGACTTGGTCCTCTTCGTCGGAGAAAGAAAAGTCGCCGGGCCACGCACCTGGAGGTCGGATGCGAGAAATCGAAGAAGGTGCTTCTTGATGTGCCTGTTGCTGTTGTGAGATGGTGTCGAGCGCAGAGTGTCCAAGACGGAACGTACCTGTTGCAATTGGGAAGCGCCGAAGCCGTGTACATAGAAAGGTACATTGGCAGGCTCATTCGAGAGATATGCGCTATAGGCGCGCTTGGTGGACATTGTCGCTATTGCTGATTGCAGTTGTGGTTGCGATGGGCAATGGTGACAACAGTAAGGTGGAGCAGGAGCGAAGTCGCGGTTGCTGCATGGGCAAAGCTGCCCGCAGTAGCGCGAACAGCAGTTCGTGTTTACGTAAGCCTCAGCCTTGGCACCACCTCGCCGGCGCCGGCTGAATGATTCTCCAGCCAGGCTGGTCTGTATGGGCAGCGTGCCTTATTGATTCACCCAGTATTCCAGAGATAACCCCTGCTGCCACGCCTGCTGTACTGCTGCACGACACACGTACCCGCCGCAGTCATCTCCCCATACATTGCAACTGTCCGCCCCCCATAATCGCTGCTCGCATCTGGTACACGTCATTGGCCGAGTTTGAAGGGCAAGAACAACCCCTCGACAACTCTCCATCACCACCCGACCACCCCACCTACACCGAACCCGCCGCCCCGCAACCATGGACACCAATATGGAAGACGTCAAGATGCCGGAGCCAATGCAGCTCTCGTCAGCCCCCACGTCGGAGCCGACCACAATCCCCACGCTGGACGGCTGGATTGAGAGCCTCATGAGCTGCAAGCAGCTGGCCGAGAGCGACGTCCAGAGACTATGCGACAAGGTACGCGACCCGAGGACGCGCTCAAAATACCGCGATAGGTCCAGCTTCTGACGCTAACGGTGCATAGGCCCGCGAGGTACTCCAGGACGAGTCCAACGTACAGCCAGTGGTATGTGTTATCGCCTACTGTCGTAGCCATGTCCGCTCACACGTGCACAGAAATGCCCCGTCACAGTCTGCGGCGATATACACGGCCAGTTCCACGATCTGATGGAACTGTTCAAGATTGGCGGCCCCAACCCGGACACAAACTACTTGTTTATGGGTGCGTTTGCCCGCCTCCCCTGCGTCATTAGATACTGACCGTCGCAGGCGACTACGTCGACCGTGGCTACTTCTCTGTCGAGACCGTGACCCTCTTGGTCGCGCTCAAGATCCGGTACCCCCAGCGCATCACCATTCTCCGCGGTAATCACGAATCTCGTCAGATCACCCAAGTATACGGCTTCTACGACGAATGCCTCCGCAAGTACGGCAACGCCAATGTCTGGAAATACTTCACAGACCTCTTCGACTACCTGCCGCTCACCGCCTTGATTGATAACCAGATCTTCTGTCTGCACGGCGGTCTTTCCCCCAGCATTGACACGCTCGATAACATACGTGCCCTCGACCGCATACAGGAAGTGCCACACGAGGGACCCATGTGCGATCTGCTTTGGTCCGACCCAGACGACAGGTGCGGTTGGGGAATATCGCCCCGTGGTGCAGGGTACACATTCGGCCAGGATATTTCCGAAGCCTTCAACCACAACAACGGCTTGACACTGGTGGCGCGTGCTCATCAGTTGGTCATGGAGGGTTACAACTGGTCGCAAGATAGGAATGTTGTAACCATATTCTCAGGTACGCTGTGTCTCTTACATTGTTGCTATTGCAATGACTGACCATTCGCAGCACCCAACTACTGCTACAGGTGCGGTAACCAGGCCGCCATCATGGAAATTGATGAGCATCTGAAGTATACCTTGTAAGTACCTCCCTGCAAAACTTACACTTTCAATCCACTAATATGTATTGCAGCCTGCAGTTCGATCCTTGCCCGAGAGCTGGCGAGCCCATGGTGTCACGAAGGACTCCCGATTATTTCCTTTAGATGACCTCTCGACCTTGGCTTCTATCGCCATCTCAGCACAGGGTCACATCAGGAAGTCATCACTAAATACTGTGTACGATCGCGTTCTTCGTGTCACTCAAGCTGTCCATGGAGACAGAAATTGTGTGACACTGACATTGCCTCTTAGACCAAGGCTCTCAATGTCTAAAAAGACCCGAAAAGCCACACTAGAGACGCGCGGAGATACTATGAAAGGTTGTGATGTAGCGAACACGCAAGCTGATAATGATAGACTCAGTTGTATTGCTTTGAATTCATTCATGCCCTTGCCTGCATCATATTATTGTTGTCTGTCTCGCGTTGTGTGCACTTTGGCGCATTCTCATCCGTTGCTCTCACACTCTTCCTCTGACCAGTCGTCTATAACTTGGATCACTTCTAATGCACAAGTGATGCTCTGAATCAAACACCCGATTCTACCCCTCTCCCCCCTCAAACAACGAACTTGGTTTGCCAACTCGTGCGTGGAAGCCTGATTTTGCCCTTCCCTTCCATAATGTAATATATCTCATCCAAGCAATCAGGGATCCTTTCTCCACACCAAACTCTCCCTCTCCTCTTCTCAACTCTCAATCCAACCCCACCGCTCTCTTTCCCGTCCTAGAAAGCGCTTGCACCATGCAACACCACACAGTCGATCAAAACTGGCCTTACAATTCACCCGCGCTATCTCCAAACAATCCAGTAACCGTACAACCCTACCCCAGCCGACCAGCCAGAGGACAAGGCAACCTGCCAGCTATGTTATGAAACCATCTACTCTAAGATGCGATACACACATGCCACTGTCCCCTTTTGGGATTTCAGTGAACGTTTCTCGTCCTATTGCCTCGGTGGAGATGGCGAGTTGCATGTATTGTGGTCAGGTGGTTTGGGGGGGATGAGGCAGGCGATGGACTTGTGCAACATCTGGTTTCTGGAGGCGCGGATTTTCAGCGGAGGAGTTGCTAGATGATTAGATCGGAGGAGTTGGAGTGTGGTGGGAGGTTTCACGCCATAATTGAGGATGTACATTTTTGAGATGATAAGTTTATGCGATGTAACATTGGTCTACGGTATCGGGGATTTTGGGGTATTGGATGAATGCAGATATATTATAGAAGATTCGCTATTATAGCTCATGCGTGGTTCCATCTCCTCGGATGACGAATTGTACAGTTTATGCCAGTTGCTATGCACTATGAGGAACGTGCTCGCAAGTTAGCAATTTCGTTTGATAGGGTTTGTTCACGATGTTCGGAAGTCATGCTGACTTGATGGGTTGTCAAATTTGCTAGGAAACTATCATGGCAGTAAAGAACCTATTCTCTCTGCAACACTGTTGTCCAGCGAAAAAAGCAATATCGAGTTAGCTGGTATGATGGTGGCCATCAAAAGCAGACGGAACGGACGAAGGATGCGATAAGAGAGGTCCGCACGGACTTCCCCGTCTTACCAGATCCGCTCAACTCCACCCCTCTCATCATCGCCGTTAACCTCTACACAAGATGCCATCATCTGAAATGTCAGATCCACCTTCCTTTCTAATGCGACTACGCCTCCAACAATCACAGGAGCTAAACGAGGCCGCCACGGCCGACCTTGTTTTTCCAGTCGGTCGGTCTCTTGGTGCATCTTGGCGCGGACACAGCGGGCCTTGGGCTGCTTAACACCTGCTCAATATGGAAGTTCGGATGCGCATATCATTTAGTCGGGTATGTTAGCTAGAACCGTATGATTGAGGCACCATAAAAGATCGGTAGCCACAGCAGCAGGCAGGAGCTTTGTCCGCACCTGCCTTGTTTTCCTGCTCGACGCGTTGGTGACCCAGTGGGAAACGTCAATAGCTTGACGTGGATAGAGCTTGATTGAGTGCTACGACGCCTTTACCGGACGTTAGAGTAGTACGTGGTCTTCGGACTCTTAATTATCCTCTATTCAAAGACGTTGCGTCTCGACAAACCATTCTTCGCAATGCGTTCTTTCGCTCTTCTCGCAGCGGTATTGCCGTTGGTTCAGGCAATTGAGCCTCCGCGAATGCCACACCAGCCCCTTGGTAACGGTACAAAACGGCTCAGTTATAACGAATCCACCACCTCAGCGTTATCCCCCAGCACTCGATCCTTTACTTGGGTTGGCACCGGCAAAGATGGCGACTACATCTACACGGCCGCTTCTGGAGACTTTGTCTTTGAGAATGTCGCAACAGGAGAATCGTCGACGTTCCTCTCCGCTGATCAGGTCCCCAAGGATTACTGGGACTACTTTATCTCGCCCGACGCGACCAAAGTCATGTGGGCTGTAAACTACACCAAGCAGTACCGTCACTCATACTTTGCCGACTACCTGATCATGGACGTTGCAACTGGCGAGTCTGTGCCTCTAGACCCCGAGCAGGTCGGTGACATCCAGTATGCCAAGTGGAGCCCAGTATCGTCGTCTCAGGTTGCTTTTGTCAAGGGCAACAACCTGTACATGTCCACCAACGGTACCGTTTCACAGATCACTGAGAACGGTGGTCCAGACTACTTCAATGCTATCCCCGACTGGGTCTACGAGGAGGAAATCTTCGGCGACCGCTACACGCTTTGGTTCTCTCCCGATGGTACCAGGATCGCCTTCCTGAGCTTCAACGAAACGGGTGTTGGTACATTCAGAATTCCTTACTACATCAACGACGATGCTGAATACGTGCCCGTTTACCCCAACGAGCTCGAGCTGCGCTACCCCAAGGTCGGCACCAAGAACCCGACTGTTGTTATGAACATGCTCGATGTTGCATCGGGCGAAGTCAGCAACATCCCAATCGATGCTTTCCCGGAGGATGATCTCGTCATCGGCGAGGTTGTCTGGCTTACCGAGGAGCACAGCAAAGTCATCTACCGCGCATACAACCGCGTTCAAGATATGGAGAAATTGGTTGTCGTCAATGTTGAGTCTGGCTCATCCAAGGTCACCCGCGAGCGTGATGGTACCGACGGATGGCTGGAGAACCTGATGCAGATCCGATACATTGGAGCTGTTGAGACCTCCAATGCTTCGTACGGTAACGCCACTGAGTACTACATGGATTTATCAGACATGAGCGGATGGGCGCACATCTACCTGTTCCCAGTTGACGGTGGTGAGCCGATCGCCTTGACGTCTGGAGAGTGGGAGGTCATCAGCGTTCCCAAGGTCGACTACTCCCGCAGATTAATCTACTACACATCCACCGAGCATCACAGCGCTGAATCGCACATGTACTCTGTGAGCTTCTCCGGCAAGAAGACCCCACTTGTCGATGACAGTGTGACTGCTTTCTGGACCGGATCCTTCTCCTCTGGTGGGTCTTACTACGTCTTACGTTACGCTGGTCCCGACGTGCCATACCAAGAGCTCTACTCCATCAACTCCAGCGAACCCATCCGCACCATTGTCAACAACACTGCGCTTTACGAAAAACTCCAAGGATACGCTCTTCCCAACATCACGTACCTAGACATGGAGCACCCATCCGGCTACACTCTCGACGCCATGCTGAGGCTCCCTCCCAACTTTGACCCCAGCAAGAAGTACCCCCTGCTTCTCATCCCCTACGGTGGACCCAACGCCAAGGAAGTGCAAAAGAGCTTCAACCCCCTTAACTGGAAAGCCTATGTCGCCTCTGACCCCGAGCTCGAATATGTGACCCTTACCGTCGACGGCCGTGGAACCGGCCGCAAAGGTCGCGCCTTCCGCTCCCTCGTAACCTCCAACTTAGGCGAGCTCGAAGCCAAGGACCAAATCTGGGCCGCCAAGGAAATGGCAAAGAACGAATGGATCGACAGCGAGCACATTGGCATCTGGGGCTGGTCTTACGGTGGCTACCTCTCCTCTAAAGTCGTCGAAGTCGGCGACCCCATCATCAGCTACGCCATGATCACCGCCCCCGTCAGCGACTGGCGCTTCTACGACTCCCTCTACACCGAACGCTACATGAAAACGCCCACCATCAACCCCGCCGGCTACAACCGCAGCCGCGTGTACGATGCCTCTGGCTTCAAGAAGATCGCCGGCGGCGTCGTCATCCAGCACGGCACCGGCGACGACAACGTCCACTTCCAGAACTCGGCTGCCCTTGTTGATCTCCTCATGGTCAACCAGGTTACGCCCGAGAAGATGCAGAATACCTTCTTCACCGACAGCGACCATAGTATTAATTTCCATAATAACGGCAAGTTCTTGTATAAGCAGTTGAGTAAGAAGCTTTATGAGGAGAAGGCTAGGAAGGGGGATAGTAAGGGTAGTCATCAGTGGAGTAAGAGGGGGGAGGCGAGGACGTGGGCTGCGTAGGTGGGGTGCTGAGTGCGGTGGTACGCTGGGGGGATATTTAAGTAAACTTAATGAGATGATGTCATGTACTTTACGCTTGTAGGGTCGTTGTGTGTGTTGTGTACTCTTCCCTTTGCCTTTTGTTTGCTCAATCTTCATGTCGTAGACAACTAGTCATGGCCGTCATTTCATCCCATCCTTTCCCCTTCTCCAACCCAGCACTTCCCTTCTTAGATCCCATTCAAACACAAACCCTGCACAAAGCCTCTCGATTCATTCATCCAGCCCCCTGTCACCGTTTCCGCCGCTTCCGCCGCTTCCGCCGCCAGCAACGTCAGCAACGCGCCTTAGCTAGTTACGCCCGTGCTCCCGTATCCTTTCTTGGCTCAATCTGACTGCTTACACGAGAAGCTTGGGAGGCTTATTTGGACTGCTGGAACACGTCTGCTCTGTTTCTATGGGGTTTGAGGAGGGTAGAGAGAGTTGAGCGGGACTTGCAGATTACTGTACAGGTGCGTGATGGAGGGGTCGGTGGTGGGTGCATTTGGGGTCCGATGAAGGGCCGTACCCGGTATACCTTGTCCGAGGTATAGATATGAGTGCAATACTATAAACGACTTAAAATCACGCATGGGTAAAGGCGAAATAAATTCTTGGTATACATGATACGAGTATTCACGGACAGACCAGGTGAATCCAGCAAGAATCATGTTCAGAATAATACATTTTTGAAGCCGTTTTCGTCGTCTTCTTCTACTTCTACTACTACTACAACAGCATCATTCATCATGGTAATCATCTCGTCGTCACCCTATCCACCACATTGCCTTATATATACATTTAAATGGCAATCTTTCCAACACCACAGGTCTGACCGTGGTGAGCATGTCCGCCGTCGTCGAATCGGCTCAAAAGTCTAGCGCGCTCAGCACCACGCTTGCGAAGCGTGTTGTTTGCCCTCGGGATACCCTCAAATGACACGGCGTACTTGGCAACAGAGTTTGCAATGCTCTGGGTGTTGACGAGGTAAGCGTCGTGAGCCAGGTTGTTGATGTCATCGCAGGCTGCGTGGTAGCATGCGTCAAGGGGCTCGCCGGCCTGACCGCCGAAGAGAGTGGCCTCCTGCTCGGTCTTGATTTCCTCGGCGCCGGTAAAGAGACCGCCGGATGGAATACCGTTCTCAAGGAAAGCAGCGTAGTCGGAGCGGAGAGAGAAGACGGAGGGGACGTGGGCAAGGCCACGGCTCTCGTAAAACTCCTCAAAGTCCTTCTCGATCTTGTCGGAGCCAGGTGCGCCCGAGAAGTTGAAGGCACTGCCATCGCCGTCGTAGATGCCAAGGACAAAATTTGGAGAGGCTATCATATCAAAGTTCAAATACGCACGGACCTTGTTTACTTCGGTGCTGTTGCCGCCCAAGCTACCGTTGATGCTCTTCATATAGTGGTAGGAGCCGAGCAGACCAAACTCCTCTGCACCCCAGAAACCAAGGCGAACGGCGTTCTTGACCTTGAACTTGGTCAATGCAAGACCAGTCATGAGCGTACCGATGGTGCCAGAGCCATCGTCGTTGATACCGGGACCGGCGAAGACGGAGTCGGTGTGGCCACCAAGCATGAGGACATTGTCGTGGTCGCCCTCTATAGTCTCTGCGATGACGTTGTAGTTTGTGCGGTTCTCGCTGATGGCGTCGATGAAGAGGGTGGCTTCGACAGTGCCGTTGCCAAGCTTGGACACAATGCTCTCTCCCACTTCCTGTGTAACACCAACAGTAGGGGTGTAGTCGCCCACGCCACCGAGAGTGCCAGCAAGGGATGTCAGGGGGACATTGTTGTAAATGACAGCGCCTACAGCACCGGCAAGCTTTGCGTTGGTCGACTTGATGGCGAAGGAGCATGTGCCTCGCAGGATGAGGGCGATTTGGCCAGAGACATCAGCAGGGAAGTCGGCGACGTCGCATCCGAGGTTGTTCACCTTGACAACGTTGGCGGTGACGTCGCCAGATGGACCGTAGGTCATGTATGCCGCGTCGAGCTCTGCGCCAGCGGCAGTGAACTTTGTGGTGGCGGCAGTGAACAAGTCGGTGAATGGCTGCTTGTAGACATTGTAGTAACCAGTCGCCTTGAGGGTCTGATATAGCCACTCGGTAGTCGCGTTGTGACCAGTGCCACCAAAAGCACGGTTGCCGCCAGCCTCGTCAGCAAAAGTCTGAAGTTGTTGAGAGCCCTCAAGCAAGTCTTCGAGGTTGATTTGCTTGATCAGAGCATCGGGCGAGACGAGCTCGAGCTCTCTGGCAGTATTACGAGGCTTGACGGTAGCCCTCTCAGGCTTCGCATCGTACTGTGCAAGGGCAGGCGCAGCGAGCGCAACAAATGGAACGAACCTCATCTTGGCAAATATGGATGGGAGGTGAGCAAGAGAAGACGAAGCTGGCCTCCAACATGGCACAAGGACGTCGGAAGCCTATATACCTGACTGTGTGCACGTAAAGTGAGCAGACAACCGGACATTGTGCCAAACCATCTAACCAGTACAGGCAGCTGCAGTATCAAAAGGAAGGCCCACTATCATTCAGGAACCACAAAATGAAAGGCAGGGTCAGCAATGGGCCCATGGGAAACGGGTAGTGAGGGCGAAGGCGAGGAACGGATCATGGTTTGCTTGGCTGCGTGCTGCTGTGTTGCTTGGCTGTTTGCAAGAGGAAGGAGAGCAGGTGCGACCTTCGGCGGGTACGACTAGCCTGGGGCAAGGCGCCTCTTGATTGGGAAGGAACAAAACGTAGATTAGAACACCAAGCCCCGACCCCCCAACAGATGTCGCTTGGCACCGCAACGCCACAATCAGCCCCGATGATACTCGAGTGCGATAGGATACTTCCTCCCGTCAGAAGCCTCTTCGCGGACACCGGACGCCGCTGAGACGTAATCGAAAAGCAACATGACGAGCATGGCGACATGTTGCTGCTCATCGCAGTTGCGGCACTGTCATTGGGAAACGTCTAGGCTTGGCCTTAATAACATGGATACACGACGCAGACGCGATATTATAACTTAGCGGGTGAGCACGAAAAAGCTTTGGGTATATAGCCGAGCCGGCTTCACTCTGATATGACTACGCACCCGGGTGTCATGAATACTTGACAGTGTGGGGAAGCCCGCGCCTAATAGGCGTACGTAGAGCAGCAAGGATCGACATTACACTACATTATAACACTAAACAATCCTAGTATTGGCTCTTCCAGACAAAGCCATGTCATCTTTCATGTATTTCTCCTACTGTGTCTGCATCTTGACGATGAAGACACCGCGTTCCATGGTGTTGATCAAAATATGGCCGCTCTTGAAAAGCGCATAACTGGACCAGGTACCGACAAAGTCAACGGTACCGCCACCTGCCGCGTTGTCGTCCTCGGGGTAAACATCTATACAATGATTAGCATAATCTGGATAAAACAACGAGGGCGGATGAAACATACCGAAGAAGCCGACTTCCTTCACACCAGCACCAGTCGGATCACTGGGAATAGAGCGAACATCCAGAACGCGGAAACCTGTGCCGTAGTTCGATTGGTACGCAAAGCCATCGGCGACATACTGGTTGTGGTCGATACCCTTTGCTCCACTCTTGTACAGTCCCGTCTGCTTTGGCGCACGGAGGGATGAAATATCCCAAATGTAGGTAATAGGATGTCCAGGAGCGCCAGGGCCGACTTTGTCGTACTCGTCGTACTCATCATCGAGAAGCAAGTACTGTTGGTTCATGGGATCCAGAACATTGCCCTGGTGCGTGTACGCAGCACCTTCGTACGAGGTGCTGGACAAGATGACAGGAGCTTTCTTGTCCGTCACGTCGTAGATGGTGAGAGAGTCCTCGTTGTAACCATAGCAAATCTCTTTGCCTTCGAATTCTGCATCTGGGCCACGGTAGATAAGGCACTGAGCATCGTGCACGTAGCCATCTCCGGATGCACTGAGAAAGACGTTAGTGGGGCAGGCTACTTCTGAATAGGTTAGACTTACCATCCTGGGCTGGTTGGTTTGGAGGGGTCGGTGATATCAATGAAGATGATACCAGCCTTGCACTTGTCAGTCCTTGGCACAGCACCGACCGCGTAAATGAAGTTGGTCTCCGGGTTAGTCACAACGTTGTGCGTTCGACCAACCGGAAGGCCTTTGAAGTGGCCGACGAGGTCCTTGGAGTTGCTGAATGTCACCGGTGAAGCAGGATCAATGTCGACCAGCTTCTTCATGTCGAAGATCTGGATTCCATGACCTTCGGCTTCGCTGCCAATGATCATCAAGTTGTTCTGGCCTCGAATTTCTCTCCAAGTACTAGGTGTAGAGTACGCTGGAAGGCGTCCAAGGTATGACAATTTGCCCTCCTTGGTAATCTCGGCGAAGGCAGCACCGTCTTGTTGGCCGATGCATACGAACTCACGGCCGTCCTCTGATGTCCAGCCTGGTTTTGCTTAGTGACAGTCGCACTTAGGAACAGTCGATTTGCTTACCCCATGACGAAGACCCGACACCGCGTGTGCTACCCAGCTCGGCGTGCGACAGGAAGTGCAGGAGATCGATCTGACAAGAGAGTCAACTGCTGCAGCTCAGGGATGATATCTCGGCTACTGACATTTTGGCATCGGAATACATCGTTCCCTGTGATGGCGGTACCGTTCACACACTCGACCTTGTCTTTGATCTCGGCATACTGAGCGGACTTGTACATGCCAGCAGCTTCCTGTCGTGCCCACGATTCCTAATGAACGTTAATTTTGTAACACAAGTAGTAAGGAGATGTTCTCGACCTTCTTCAGGGCAACGTTGTTTGCGTGCCTGATACCAGAGTCGTAGAGCTCTGCCGCCTTGAAGTCATCTTTTGGCATTTCCTTTGCCGCCGCAAGGGCGGACAAGGAGAGAAGAGCCGTCCGTAGAAACATATTGACAACGAGAAGATGAGGAAAAGGCCGATGAGGTTGACATTATAGGTCGCTTGCACTCTTTTAAGTACGCAGTACGCAGTATCTGAGGTGGAGGTGCGCGATATGCTACCTGGGTATCGCAATGCACGCTTATGGCCAACCTGGCAGGTAGTCACCAGTCCTTCCTCTTCGGATACTACCTTGTACATGGTGACCCATCATGCAAGGTGGTATACAAGCACGATTGGTAGTCAGTAGAAATCAAGGCCAGCATGCATGCGGATTGTATTGGCGTGCAAGGTACAGCATGGATTGTGTTAGATGAGCTGGAGGCTTTTAGTATGGAGTGCGCCACATTATAGGAAGGAGGCTTCATCAAGCATGCCTTGGCGACAGCGGTCCCTTGATGTACAGCAGCGCGTGCCCAGATGCCAAGACGCTGATCGGTTGTGCTTCAAGAAGATAACGATGGCGCGCGATACCAAATGCTACCAGCTGCCCTCCGAGGTTCTCTGATCGGAGGTTCGCTCCATTGCCGACTATCAAGTCGCTGGAATGGTTGCGAAGATGGTGTGAAGGTCGGATGGAAGCGGCTTTGTGTCGGTGTCAGTACCGGTGGGTGACAAGAACAATCAACTACCCTGCAGTCTTAACAACGCATGCTTGAGAAGATGGGAAAGGCTGGTACGACTGACAATAAGACTTCATGTTGATATTAAGAAAGTTTGTTTTATTATCTATAGTTATTCGTTAAACTGCCGTTGTTGTTAGCCAGGAGGGGTTTGAATTCAGCTGGAAATCGCCACAATCGACACGTGATCTGACAGCCATAGGTGGGAGCATGTCGTTCCGATCAGAGCTAGCTTCACTAGTAAGCAACCGAGCCTCAACAGTTCAGATGGTACATGGGACGGGTCGTTGGGGGTACGATGGAATTTGGTGTTTTCCATGGCATGTGAGTGGGGATGGCGGGGCCGCATTGAACCGCCGACGGTGCCTGGAACACGGTCCCACCATTGCGTCACCAGCAAACAGAACTCATGCTTGAACAACATTCAGACCACGCGCTGGACGTTGTCTCGAGACTCTGGGGTGATGGCAAAAACATCAAGTCTAGAGGAAGACGTGGTAGCACTGGCTGAACAACACGTCGTTCTTGATTCTTCATGCAAGCCTACATGTCATTCGATGTGGGCATCGTTGGGGTTCAGAAAATATCACATGCTTTGCAAGCGGGGTAGCTTTTCTTCAGGGGGCTGTGCCCACTAAGTCTTCATTAATGAGTCTATATAGTCATTAATCGTGAATCTCGTCGTAAGCCCACTACCGCAAAGGCAGGTAGGGTTGATCGGATGTTCATGATGCCTGGTAGCCCCTCAAGCATTTACATCTTGGCCTCAATCTTCTTGAGGCACTCGGGGAACTCCTTCCAGTCGTACATGATGGCACCGCACTTGGTCTCTTCGGTGAGGAGCTTGGCCATCTGATCCATCTTCTCCTTGCCCTCCTCGATGCCGTAGATGCCGACGTATCCGATGCAGGGGATGCCAGCGCGCATGGCAGCAGTAGCACCGCTCTTGCTGTCCTCGACAGTGACGGCCTCGGAAGGCTTGACGCCAAGCTGCTCGGCGGCGAACAGGTAGATCTTGGGGTCGGGCTTGGAGGAAGGAGGAGTGAGCGAAGTGGCGGCAGAGTAGACGTGCTCGGGAGGGAAGAAGTGGGCGATGCCAGCCTTCTCGATGGAGGCGACGACACGGCTCTTGGCAGAGGTAGAGACGACAGACATAGGGTATCCCTCTTTCTTCAGCCAGTTGAGCTGGTCAGTGACACCAGGGCACTCGACCGCCTTCTCGCTGAGCTTTTTGGTGACAGCGCCGAGCTCCTGTTGGACAAAGTCGTCCATCTCCTCGGGGGACATGGTGAAGTTGTGCTTCTTTTGCAGACCATTGAGCATACCGCGGAAGTTGTGGCCAACAAAAACCTCGAGCAGCGAATCGGCTGTGTAGCGAGCCTCGATGTTGTGCTTCTCCATGACCTGGTTGGTAAGGTCGGCGCAGGCCTCGAAAGCAAAGCGCTCCGACTGAACAAGCGTGTTGTCGCAGTCGAGCATGATGTACTTGGCCTAAACATGTGTTAGCGGGGTACTGGCGGGGTACATTTCTACTACAAGATGACCTACCTTGCCCATGGTTGCGGTTGTGGAGTTGAACTGGGACTTGGAGAGTGGTAGTGGTGTCAATTGACGTTTGAGTACGAGTTTGATAGACAGTTGAAGTGTGGAGAAGTGGGTAGAGAGGATGGTGAGTTTCTGTTGGGAGAAAGTAAATAAATAAAGCAAAAGTAGCGCTTGCCAGGTGTCAGCGTGTCAAGGAGAGGGCGGTGCTGCGGCGGGGGGGAGTGCGAGTTACGTCATTGGCTGCACCTGGTGAGATTGCGCGGTCATTGGCCAGGCCCAAGTCGCCATCTCTCTCACCACTCTTCTCTCACCTTCGGATACCCCACATGGCTAATGCTTGGGATCGCGGGGTTGCAGCTCGACAAGCAATCCCCTTGGCACGTGACATTACTCTTACAATTAATCCCTCAGTCTTCCGTCTTCCGTCTTCAGACCGGCATGGCCAACTCGACGCGTATCCTCACCCGTCGTGCTTTCTGCAACCCGTGTTTTCCTTCACCCGCGCCTGCTTCCGGTTGGCGCCCGTGCCATTACAGCCTCACGCCATACGTTGCACACTGCCCAACCATAGACACCATGCATGACTTCACCTCGCATCCAAGAGTCTAGAGCTGCCAACAGGGTGCGGTGTGCACAGTGTGTAGTTCCTGCATACAACCTTGACCGGGGGATGCGCTTACACCCCCGCGCCTTCCTTGGTGTTCCACAAACCCGTACCGGTCTTGGTATCCCAACAACTGATGGAATTCCTTAATGGTTGATCTCATAGACTACATGCTATGAAAAATACCATCTTCATTTCCTTGGTTGCCTCAATCCCCAACCTGGCTCAACGGCCAACCTAGGTAGTTACATTGCCCCACCCCATGGTGGAGTACATGGTACTCTCAATCACCTTCGCCTACGTACCTGCCATTCAGCGATAAATTCCCTATACACAGCCTTGCTACCGTCCTCTTTAGCCCTTGCTCAATGTCGGTCGCCAGCAGTCTTCCTCTCAACCGGAGATGGAATAGATTTCTATCTCCATTTCCCCCATCGTCTTGTCTCCATCCAAGCTCATCACTAGATCAAACTCGCATCTTGTAAGCCTGGGGCCGTTATGCTTACTATGGTGCGTGCCCACTCCGAAATATGACCCCGGGGACTAAGTTACCGGCATCGGCCCGTCGTGGGGCGCAGGCGATCGCGACACTATGTACAACCTGCTGGATCAATCTCACGCAAGCCTTACCGGAGGTTCCGCGTCTGGGACTTGGTGCCATCCTGGAATGGCGACCTAGGAGTAGTCGGGGACTTGGCAGCGCAAGTTGCTCATGGAAAGGGGAGAGCAGAGAGAATCTAGGCCTTGCCTTGCAATCTTGGGGTTTGGACTGCAATCAGTTGGTTTGCGTCTGGTTCTTGACATATCGATCTGATTTCCCCATATCCAATTGCTGTAGATAGCTGCCATTTGGTTAGCTTGGCTGCGTGTGCACTTTTGTTCACATTTCCCTTGCCATGACTTTAGAGGCATTAGTTTGAATCGCATCACAGAAACAGAGCATAAGAGCTACTAGACAGAAAGAATTACGTTGATTAAAACGTCCACCTAGTTTCTCCCTGTTGTTTTACCACCGGCATGGATCTAGCGTTTGTTGGAAAAGTTCTAGAAGTGAGACAAGTCTGCTCTTGCGCTCCGGCCAGCGAAAACTGCATGCCCCACTTCAGCGTACTCCAGGGAGTCTTCGAAAGACTCCTAAGCCGGAAGAACAGCGCTCAAGCGTCGTGATGCTTGTTGGAATTACGGAAAAGTCACCCGCGATACAGGCACGGCGTGACATCGCGAACGCACGCAGATTGCCGATCGAGTAGAAGTCGTACAAGATGAAATTGCATCTTGTCAATCCATGAGAGTACAATACCGGCCTCTGCTTCCGTACGTGCGCAGATCCTATATCAGATGGAGCAGTAGTAAGCGCGACATATCCCACGAAGCAGGGATAAGCCGGATTCGTCGACTTTCCGCCAAGAAAGACAGCGAGAGCAATATACACACAAATCTACTCTTGCCTTTTACAGATGTGATCTAGTTCTTTTCCGTTGACTTAGGCAGCCTCGGAAAGATCGTTCAGCAATTGGCTCTGCGACGCGACACGGACCCTTCATCAACGCTTCCAAGCATCATCTTCATTGCCAGAGTAAGCTGGAGATTCCGGTCCTCGTTACCGGCGAACCCGCCCGGAACAATTATCGAAGTCAAAGCCAAGCAGCCCTGCCTTTGTATGCCCGGAAAAGTGGCCGCTGAACACAAATACTGCCAGGCATCAGCAATTGAAGTTGTCGCCCTGCCAACTCAAGGGTACCTCATCGGCAAGAATCCATCACAGGTCGCTCAGGGGGGGAAAGCAAGTGACCAGAGGCATATACGACGGCCACCTTACGGCTTTGAGGTCCTATAATAGGAAGGCTCACTTGTCACCATCCGTCCTCATAATGACGAGCATGATGAGAGGCTACTGTCATTGCAACATCCCGATAGATGGCCAGATTGGACCTCTTGGAGTGCTACACTCGAGGGAAGCGATGTGATGATGACCGAGAAACTGTGTTATGGTTTGCCAAATTATCACACATGCAATACCGCGATTTTGTATTCAATCAGCATCTAAGTGAATTGCCGGACCACTAAATAGGTAGCGCTTTCTGATACAGGAAAGGGTGGCAGAAAAGGGTTACCTGCCTAGACAAGATCACGAGTAATGCTGGGCTACACCAAGGTCTAGACACGGAAAGATAGATGCCATGACAATTCAAGAAAAGATCGCCATGAATTACACGAGTTGTTTGTGTGGCTTCGGTACCATTTCGTATTGCTTACTGTCGTCGGCGAATGAGATGAACATCCAGCCTAACCTATTATGGTGGAGATGAAATCTATCACACCACACTACAATTTCGCTTTCAACACCTTTATTCGAGGTATTGATGGTGGTGGTGCAGGTAGCGTCTATTGTCCCAAGATTTTGCGTAGGATAACAGAGGTAGAGTTCAAGTGGGTGAAAAAGTAACGAACAGAGTCAGCCAGTCTAACACAGAGTTTCGGCTTTTCTTATCTTATCTCATCTCATCTCATCTCATCTCATCGGCAAATTTTTGGTGCTCTAGTAAGCACGCCGCGTTCTGGTCGTTGCTCAGGTGTCAGGGGGAGAAGTGCCTAGAAGTCCGATCATCAATAAGACAGGAAAACAACTCAATTCTCTCATTTGTGACTTATATAGTTAACCCTGAAGCCCTCACTTCTTTGTACCTCAACGCCCCATCTATTCTGTCGGATGTGGGAGAACAGAGTAGAAAAGAGGCAGAAGGTTGTTGTATTGAGAGAGCTACATGAAGCGATTATATACACAACTAAGATGAGTAAGCAGGTGACGGGGAGTCACGTGAGATACAGTTCACAGTGTACTAGGTGAACCGAGGTGCCAGGCTGACATATTCGATACCCGTAAAACATACACATTGCACCCTCCTTCCAACCCAGGATCACTATCACTATCATGAAATCCTTCTTTACCATCCTCGTTGCGACGGTCGCTACACTCCTAGGCTCTGCTATGGCCGAAAACAAATGCGGGCCCTGAGGTGAAATTGTCACATGTGTTCAGACGGAGTCGGCGGAATCGGTACGGCCGACGGGCATCTCAGTTCTTGCACTGTAGTCTGTGCCAAAGGTCAGAAATCAGCTTG